ACCGATAACGAATAGAGACAAAATTTTATTTGCTCTTTAAACACAATTAGTTAAAAGTTCTATAAATGGTTTGTCTTTCGAGTATTTCTGTGCTTACTTCAGACACTACAATTCAGTAGAAGAGGGGGAAAGATAGACAAAAGGGGACGAAACTGTGATATTAATTGATATAAACTTGGCGCAAATATTTCCAGCGTTCACACATCAAAGCATGGACCAGGGGAATTATAAAGAAAAATCACTAGGCTTGGCAGTTTTCATTTATATTTAATACATCTTGGTCCGTTATCAATCCAAATAGGCCTATATTACGATTAATCACGAACCATTTGTTAATTTCAACGTCGTCACTTCTCCCGCGTCTTGATAAGCGGTAAAGCGGTAATGATAAACACATGTTACGTCATTCCGCTAATGCCGAATGCTCAACCAGATTCAGTTTAAACAGGCTGGCATACATTCAAAATAATTGGGTCAGTCCTCTTCATTCTGTACAAGGGTGCACCGCAGCAAATAAATTTCTATAGGCAGCAGTGATAAATCCCCATACTTCACAAATATTTAAAAGATGCTACTCTCACAGGTGTTCCGGCTGCACAGAAAAATGATGTTCCACATGTCCTCTTTCATTTCCTTTCAATTTTTAGTGGGTTGACCAATGAAATTTTGAGAAATTCTCACCTATAGCAGACCACCCCTAAAATGAAGGAAATTTCACTCTCTGGGAAAATAGCTATTTTGAAAATGCATCCCTCTGCAAAATGGCTCAATTAGTGCCACTTTCGGACCCTGTTGCATTCAAATTGCTCAAAATCGGAAGCCCTGAGTCCGGCCCAGAGGTTCAGTGTCATATTTCTTCAATTCCCCAGTTCCATGCCTCTCAGGACCCGCTAATATAGAATATTTTGAGTGTAAATATAACTTTTATTAATGAGCTCGGCGGAAATATTTCTGGCCTAACTATGAGGGTGCACCGACAACCACAATTTTTGATCGAACGTGTTCCTTTTTTTTGAAGCGCCCTCCAGTGATTCCATCCACGCAGGAGTGCATCACTCCGCCCTTCGGTTTCTGCTTACACCATCACCCGAAGGAATTGCAGCTGAATGGCAGAATCTCTCTTGGAATCTTGTGAAGGAACGCAGAACATCGCGGGTAGGCTCAACACAGTAGTCAACACGTTTTTATTGGACTTCCATAAATCTAGTCGCTGAGTTTATTTGTACCCCCTTATTTTCTGGACTCCCAGCCTTCCACGCGGGTGTTGTAACTACCATTGTTCTCACTGCTTTGAGTAGTCCCTCAAGTTCACGCATGCCCAATTTCATGTGGAGGTTGAGATCAACCTGCTCGTCTTCGGAAGTAATGGTGGTGATATACAATGATTGGTGCGCCTTAATTATTTTTTTTTTCTTCCGGTAAGCACGTTTGGTTGAACTCATTGCAAATTGGTTGATCGGATAAGACAGAGAAAACAAATTCCAATTGGAATCTGGAGCAACAGCCCATCAAGCTCAAGCGCATCCGGCCGGATGTAATATCGTACGGTGCATTCCCATATTCTCCGAGGTCACACTCCAAACCTGCCGTCACTTGTTTGTGGGGGCTTTAATTAAAACTTACTTAATAGCCAAAAATGACTCGAAACGAGATTTTCATGTGGGCTTGTAGACTCGACATTCTGATGTCATCGCGCGCTGGGATACCAGACAGATGAGAGTTATGACAATATTGTCTTCCCCTGACCTCCGGAGTATGATGTTTAACGAATGGGATGGACTGCGGATGAAATGAGGCAATTACCTTGCCGCCTGGAGTGGCACTCCTTCATGTTCTACTCGTCTCATCTCCTCTCATACACCAACGAGAGTGGCCTTCCGTTGCTAGGGAAGCCGCGTGATGACTCCCGTGCCGGCGAGTCGGAGCACTCACAAAGCTAGCTTTTTCTAGTGCGCGAGATTGAGACTGGACGGATACCTCGTCTTACCCATGGCTGGAGACACTCAGCCGCTAAATCGACCCGAGAAACGAAGAAGGACCCTCTGCATCGGCTTTGGATCGCATCATCATTACCAGTCCACACGGCTCTTTAAAATGCCCTGATCAAATTTTCTTTAAGCACATTGAAATCAAAGCAGACGCCCTGTCTCAACGTTGATGATGCAAGAAAATCTACGTTAAAAAGACGGGAGGGGGCCACAACTGCACTCACCTTCTCTCCTAAGGAGCTTGGAACTGAGGAGATTCAATTGAATTACCTTCGTGGCCGACTGTAGTAACCGCGCTGTGGTTACTCTCAAAGAAAGCAAACATCTGCAGTGCTGTCTGTTTACACCAGCATTTAGACGTACTTCGTTTGTCGTGTCAAGGAAGTCTTGACAAGCAACAAAGAAATGTAATCATTGTTTTGTTTCTTTAAATGTACCAGTACATTTGCACCTTACATTAGGCTGCTTAAGTAATTAACTCAAGCTGTTTGGGTGAAATCTCGAAATGAAATGGTCATATCAAATTGGAAAGTCAAGCTTTGCACTAAACTGCATGACAAAGACTTTATTGTAAACAACGTTTAAATACTCCGTACCCACCCATTTTGGCACCTTTTAAGCACGTTGAACCCACGGTGTGTTTATTGACATGCTTTGTGAAATCCACTTAGCATTTAAACGCATCCCTAAACGCATTTGAGTGTAAATGTACAAATATTTCGTCGGTGAAGCGTGTTTAAAATGTAGGTACAACGAGTGTTTAGAAGTGTGTTTAAACTGATGGCTCACTGGATGCAAGTGAAACGTATGTTGGAAGTGCATTGATTTGTCATATTTGGGATTGACTCGGAGGTTTATACCAGGCAAGATATGGGGCGGAGGGGTACCCCCCCTTACCTGTCCAATCCCTATACACACTCTAGACTATTGCTACCTAACACATCCCCCTAGAAGTCTTCAAAGAATACCTGACATTCCGATCAAACAATGACCAACACAAAGGCGGAGGGTCTCTCCGTCCAATGTCTTGCTTCAAATGCGGAGGTTGCACACTACTGAGACGGGATATTCAGGACGTGACCACCTCTACAATGGTCTTGGCATCACCACTCGTTCTGAATGTGATACGGTGTCTTTCAGAGAACACTTAGTTCATCAGATTCTCGCTTCAGACCTCCAAATTTTACGGATCGATTTTTGTGGGAACGAAAAAAATACGTTTACCAACATTAGGTGATATGTCGTGGAAAAGAAATGAGTTAAAGTAGGATTTACTGCCTGGTCATGATTGAAAATCTTATCGCAAGTCTTTCAAAAGAGTTTGCGTTGTTTGTTGGGAAGGGAATTTCATACATACAAAAGTGTGATTTAATAGATGAAAGAAAACGAAAAAAAATTTAAACCAACTGTGATCAAATTAACTCCAGTATTATGTCTTCGTTCGAAACCCGCACACACAGAAAAACAAATGCTTGTCAAAGTTCTTTGTCTCCAGGAAGAAAAGTCCGTCCCAGTTCACAAAGAATGTATATTTGGACGAACGATTTTTTTCTCTTTGTCCGAATATCATTGAATCTGTCATCATTTCCAGCTCCGCAGTGGACATGCCGTTTTGTCGATACACGTTCCATATGCTAACGTGTTGTGTTTTCATCTTTGTGTCTGTGCAGTAATGCCAGCGTACGGGTACCGCTCGGCGCCGTTGCCGGCCCACCACGACCCGGTGCAATAAAATGTTACGAGATTATTGTCCGTAACTCGAGGCGTAGGGCTCGAGAACAGCATGTCCATGTGCATAGTGCGGTGGTGGTGGTAAGGTTCGGAACCAAGCAGTGAACTTTTTCCCAAGACCTCAACTGAGGTTGACGTTTGGACTTGTAAAGGCTTGCAGTGGCCGATAATGAGCGTGCACCAGTGTCAGATCATGGTCAGATCAAACAAACACGATCGCTTTACCGTTTGTTCATGCGCACAACGCTGTCCTTGCCATCAGTGCGGCTTCTTGCTTCAGTTTTTGCATCAAAAAGTTTGTGTATACATGAAGCTGTGGTCAGGTGCCAGTCTGTCATAGTTATGAGTTATCCAACGTCCAGACACGAGACACGTGCTGTACGGCCTACTCTGGCAGTTGAAAGTTATACGCTGGCTTGCGAAGGTAATAGCACGATACGGTAAGACTGGCTGTACGATCATAAAAATTAATGATCGTGACCCGCAATCGTTTGCAACTATGCTCGTTCATGTCAGAAATTGGAATCAACACTTGCAGAAGTAAATTGCCTGTAAAAAAAACCTCAACTGGTATTCTTTATTACTTTAATATTTAAGATTTAAGACCAACGCAAGGAATCATCAATGAAGGACATGTATTTCAAAGTCAGTTTGGTTAAATAAAAGAAATTGAGTGAAAAAAAGTAAACAAAGTTAGGAGGAAGAAGTGCAGTGTTAGTGAGCTTCGTGCAGTTTTGCTGATTACCAGCACTCCCTTTGTAATGAATATCTCCTCAAACAAGACAGTTCCAGGTGTTATGTTCTATGCCACCGTAGCTTAAAGTTTCACCATCCGAAAAGTACCTAAATGCTATACATGTATGTGGTATGAACGCCCCACCCCCTTTTTTGAACCAATTAATGACCAACTGGCGAACAAAATGGATAGCACTGTTTTCAACGCACCCCCCCCTCCCCGTGGAATGTTGTTAGCTTTGGAGGTGAGGGTTTACAACCCCTCATTAGCAAGGGAGCAGGGGGGGGGGTAAACGTCACCAGGGACCATATTCTCTAATGAGGAATTCATACTTCCATGCAGCGGCAAGGTGTAATTGCATGTCGGTTATAACAATGTCTCAACCCATTTGGGGGGGGCGCACATCCACCTCTTAAAAGGAGTAAGTTATCCCAATTATGGCCCTTTGTGACTTCCACATCCAGTGTGATTTCATACATAGCTTATCCCCCCTTCATTTTAAAGAAAGCCTTGTAACACACAACACAACACCCAAAGAAATTACGTCATTTCTATAGTTTATTTACATCATTGTAAAAAAAACGATCGATCAAAAAACGATGTTTTAATCAAGGCCCTTCTTCCAAATAACAAATGAAGGCATCTTTATAGAGTGCTTCTAAATACTTTGAAATCTCATTTAGTACATACTTAAGTGTTTGGTTTTTCTTCAAATATCCTCAGTATGAGATCATTATGAACAAATTACACGTCTGGGGAAAATCGTACGACAAAACAATAGCATATTTTATGATAACATAATTACAGACAAATACGGATAACACTCAATTTGCTATGTTGCATTATGCAATTAAAAACAATAAATAGACGAATCCATAAACAAAGGTTTATATGGTGGTAAATAACTCATGACAATAATAAAACTGTCAATAATCATAAATATGGAATGACTCAATTTGACATTTTCACGAAATGAAGCATAGACACTGAAATACAAAAGCCGTTTAAATAGAAATCCGTAAATTTATCATAGTTACGAATAAATAACTGTGACCTGTGCCATGTAAACATATCGCCAATTATAATATTGTTTGTAATAAATACGCCTAGCTTTTTACATGCTTATGTAACCAGTAAATTGGTATTTACTAATAAATACCAGCCTGGTATTTAATGACACCGAATACCTCAACACCAAATAAAACATTTTGTGGTTAACATGTGAGTACATTTGTGGACGAAAACATAAATAAATAAGACCAAAAATAATCTTAGTATAGTATATTTCAATAAATAGCTTAAACGGAAAAAGCACACTTCTTGGAGTACAATGAATTGGTAAACTGGCAAACTAGCACGATATTTCAAAGCAAGGGCATAGCATTTGGAGGTCGAATGGAGCAGTGTAAAATCTTCGTGTCGACCAGTAATCCCCTAAAATTAGTGGATCTTTATTTCCACTACTCCCTAATTTATCCATTATACAAATAAATAAATAAACAGCACAATACGAACACGAGGATAAAATAAACGACAACACTATAATACGATAAATATTAACAGCGGTATAATGCCGCCGATACAGTGGATAAATAAGAAACTACTGACTTCAGATTCTTAAAATACAAACGACAAACAAACCAACCGACTTGGCTCCCTGCACAATGCACGGTTTCCGAACACAAAGAATCGCCATTCAAAATGAAACATGACGGTAGCAACAACATGCACGTGTTTGACAGCGGTCTCTCGATGTCAGCATGAAATAATCATCCCATATAATCTTCCATTTTCAATCTCGCCCCGTTCGCGCACCGCTGCACACATTCAGTGTTGCATGACCTAATGACTGGGGGTGCTAGTCATTCCATAATCTACTAAACAGAGTGATATTCACTCATTCCATTGGCTTGGAGGTACTGCTTTTAGATTATGCTCACCATGTACATGTACATTTAATCAATTTGCAAACTTCGAACAAATGTTTTACTGAATTCCACGATTTCCTTCTCATGAACGAAATCATGATTAAAGAAAAGTCAAGATAAATATTTACCACAGCAACAAGCACAACTTGTGGGAATGGCATTATTAAAAGTGAGCCATGAAAAAATATGACATCTCTTGAAATATTCAAACAACTATTACGATTAAGGTAAAATATATTCTGTTCTTTCTTCCCCACTTTATGTGATGCATGTATCCTTAAATACACAGGTACAAACAGTGTGTACAAAATAACACAAACCAGTGGAATGATTTATTCGTTCAAATATTTCCATATGGAAATTTAGCACACAAAATGGTAATTAACATCTACAAATAATATATAGTGCCCTTTAATGTTATAGCTATAAATTTTACTCAGCGACAAAACTGAAAATCACTGGAAGAAAAAAACAGAATCGAAGGGTAGTCGTGTAGGCACAATTTTATTTTCCGTAGTTAAGTTGACTAATGGAATGTTGAATTATAATCAAACGTAAAGAACGGAATGAAACGGTTTATAAGATTCTTGTCGAAATGTGTACGTGTTATAGATGAATTGTATAGGGAGATTAACTGTTTCACCACACAAACACCGACATCTGTAAAAACTAGCTTAACTCAAACCTTTCCAATTCTGTCTTCATTCCCTCAGGACTTGTTCTATAAGCATTAGTTATACCCATTGTATGACAACGCGGAGGATGGCAGATCAGATTCGAGCTTTTACCATAAATATTCAATTTGTTATCTTTTATATACACAAAAAGACGTCCGAAACGGAATGATGGCGAGTGTCTTGCTTTCAAATAATAGGTACCCGGCTCACACTTAGTTGAACAATGGCAGTAAAAACAACATAAGTTTATTACAACATAATCATTAACAGAGCAGAAACATTTGGACATCTGTTTCAGTACTTGGTTATAGTCAGAAGAAGATATAACAACACGAAGGAATGGTTTTGCCTGTTGGAATACAATTTTTTCCCTCTGAGGGAAACTTCAAACATAATAGATAAACGGCCGACTGTGCATCTCTCTTTTCCCAGAGGAAAAAAAATGGAAAAGATTCAACGAAGTTCGACAATAGGTAAATCGCAGAGTTATGATAATGTCCTCCTTAAACAAAACCTGTAGCTATTATGCGTTACGTGAACACGATAGCACGTTTTCTCCACCAGGATGTGTACTGATGGAGCATACATGTATACTTGGTAGTGTTGTTTCTGATATTTACACAGCTGTGATTCTTTATCCGTTGGAGATGTAGTGTGGTCTGCTGAACTGAATGTAGTCTATTGGACTAAAGCCAAAAGCGAACAAGTTTTTGTTCGTCTTGATAATAAAATAGCCTGAGGATTAATGGCAATAATATGCAACATAATTATTGTGTGATAAATAGCTATTGTGCACAGTAACTTGTAAATGTTTATCATATTCGAAGGCCGTTTTCTTGTATTGAGAATGGTACAATCAACCCTACTCTTTTAGTTTTGGCGACGTAATTCGTGGCGAATTCGCTTTTAAACAGAAAAGAAACAGTATGCATTCTCTAAGAGCAAACTTTTTGTGTATATAGGTGAAATTAAGACCACAAAACTGTCCTCTGGAGATTTCAGGTTGTATTATTAAAGATCGTTTTCTTTTTAGTGCAAAAATATTGATCTTTGAGTAGCAAAACGACGGTACATTATTGTTACACGTGGCTTTGTTAAACTGTACTCACGGGTGCACAGGCAATTGCTGAAGCAGAATGACTTGTCTGTTTTCAGATGGGTGCCTTTTGTTGATGTGTCGAGTCAGCCCAGGTGAACTGGTGAAGTTACAAGAGCAATACTTGCACGGGTAGACCTCGCTTGAGTGATGTAGTCGCACGTGCTGGTCTAACGCCATCTTGTTTTGGTAGGAGCCTCCACACACGTCACAGTTGACCTCCTTTGGGCCCACGGCATGAGTCAGGACGTGCTTGGCCCGGCTGGTCAGGCTGCTGAACGTCTGGCCACAGTACTGACACGGATAGGTGTCCTCCTCACCGTGGTGTTGCATGTGCTTCCGGAGGTTGGCCGGCCGCCGGAACTTCTTGCCGCACTGGTCGCACTCGTACTGCCCCTCCTCGTTGGGTGCGGCCTGCCCGGGGCTCGGAGTACTGCGACTGCTGTCACTCCCAGTGCTGGTCAGATCATCCTTGATGAGGGTCAAGGATTCGTCCGGCTGCTCGGCCCGATGGGTCACCTCGAAGGTCTTGCTACCGTCCGGTTTGGCGGGTGATGCCGGCAGGATGCGAGGAGAGTTGGGCGTGGACCGGCTGTTGGGTCGTGGCTTGTGCCATCGTCGGTGGGAGGCTAGATTGGCTGGGCAGTTGAACACTTTGTCGCACTCGGGGCAGCGATATTCAACGTGCACAATACGGGAGCACTTATGTTGGGCCAAGGAGAAGGGGTCAGGGTACTGCTCTTTACACAGCTGACAGACGAAGTCCCCGCCAAGGCTGTTGTCCTGCGCTCCACCCTTGTCACTGTCGCATCCCCCGTTGGCACCTTTACCATTATCTGGACCTCCATTGGACGACACATCACCACGGATGATGGTGCCGTGAACGGGAGAGGTATTGTCCTCATCAAAGTTGAGTTTGCGGGCGGCTTTGGGCTTCTTGGCTTTGTGCTGTTTTCGCTCGTTCTCCTCGGATAGCGGGCGCTTTATTCTGAGAGGGGGCGGGACGCCGGAGGGGAGTCTCCTGGGCGGCGTTGTAGGAGTCACGGTGAAAGGCCAGAGCGTCTTGTTCCTCTCGGTGTTCAGGGATGCAGAGGATGGGGAACTGTAAGTCAGCGGGGACGGGTAGGAACAGTTGTTCAGGTGGGGAGAGCTAACACGAGAGTAGACGGACTCCTTGTCGAATCTGAAGGCCGGGCTTTCCTTCACTAGCAGCGTAACCGGGCTGTGACCGTAGCCGGAGTCCGGGGAATTGAATGGCTTAGTATAGCACTCCGTGCCATCATTCTCGATGTAGGCATCATCCTGATCTTCGTCGGAGCAGCGAGAACGGTAGGAGACAGACCCGGATTTCCTGTTTCGTTTCACCAGGAACCCCCTCGGCATCTTCTCGCTTGAACGGGGGGACCCGCAGACCCCGCAATGCCAACCGCCACCGTTATCGTCAAACCGTCGTGCGTTTAGAGACGTAGACGTGTGCAGGGAGGACAACAAGAATCGTCCCGTTTACTGCGAAGTGTGAACACCGACCAGGTAGCAGGTGACTGGAGATATCAGTAGAGATCTATTACAGAGTAAGCCTCATCAGTATTGTCGGTAAACGAAGCTCACAGATTCCACCTATTATGCACGGGAAGGACCACAGGTGGTGATAACACGTCTGACTTCCCGTTTTCATGTGGCAGAATGCGGGCATTAGCGGCGTTTTGCACAGTTAAATGTGACGCGCAAATTCTGTCACTCGGCCGACGAGATGCTAACAAGTCAGCAAGCCTTCTGGTTGGCCCGTAGAATGCGCAACGGACCAGTGAATTCCGTCATGGGCGCTTATCGTTAAACTGTCGTCGTCGAAGTCCCCGCCCCCTTTCAGCCGTCCATACGGCTCAGCCGGCTTGCTCGGCGATGCGGTTGGTGTGTCGACCGCCAAGCTGAGGCAGCTGCAATCTCCCGGCACGTTCCCCCGGCTAGCGTGTAGAGGTACCGTTAGCTTCTCCTTTGTTTGGTTGTGAGGGGGTACTACACTGCAGAACGGGACACGCGTCCGCTCTTTGTTTTCGGCCGGGCAGATTGGATTGTAATCGTGTACTGGATGGCGGACCCCACAACAGCGCATGTACAGACTAATGAGCCAGCCACCCTGCGGCGAAGCCATTATTCCGCCGAGCCATTCGCCGGTGCCGAGATTCTTTCCACGGATGGAAGAAAAAGAAAAAAAAGAGCAATGAAGGAAAGAAAGATAAGAAATCTGGCCCTCCTCGGCCAATCTCAGCCGGTTTTTCTTTGTTCTCATGCTACGGTGATCATCGAAATTCTTGCAGTGGTATAAAATTTTATGAAATAAGAGTCTTGATAATCGATGGTGTTGGCTTGTTATGCGGATGCAAGGCACGAAAGGGTGATGGAGCGAATGTGATACATCACCAGCCACGAGGAACGGCCGTACCGCCCTGTGCCGTGCTCCAAGGGAAAAACAGCTCCGGATGATTATTTTTCCCGATGTTCGCCAATCAGCGAATTTTCAAAGCCGTGAGCTCGCGTATAGCCAGATATGTTCCGTTGCGCTACCTGAAAATAAAACATGTTAAGGCCCATAAAACGCTGCAAAAGAGTGGCTAGGTATCTTCTAAGCCAGCGCATTGAAGCTTCTAATTAGGCGTGTGATTTAAAGAAAAAAGCTTAAACGGGAGGGCATATTGGAGGAAATCCCGGAGATTAATGAGGCCATTATTGCAATGCAATTTAAATATGCAAACAGGTTGGCAGATGTTGTCCTCTGAAATTAAATACGAAAAACCCTCCCAAACATTTCATATCCGAATGGCATTTAATTTTAATTGAATTTCTGTGCGTTCACGCGTTTTACACACGTTCCCATCAGTCTTGTTAAATTAATGCATAATTCAGATTTAAAGCCATCCGATTTAACGAGTTTCTTTTCTTTTTCTATATTTTATAGAACTGATTTCCGACCCTGCATATCCGCCGTAGATCTGGTTGTTTCGTAACTGAGTATAGGCTCATTCTCTACCGTGAAAATCTCCAACACAGCAAAGAAATTCTCTTGTATGAAGAGCGAGTCTAGGAAATTTTCTGGGATTAACCTGACTACAGTTGCACGTGATTGCAATTCAAAAATACAAACAAGTCGTTGGCAGATGATGTATTTAAAATTTAAACAGAAACCCGAATTAAACAATACAAGTGCATTTAAACATGGCAGAGGCCTTTAAAATCAATCAAACTGAAAACTATTGTGCCTGTTAATTAGTTCACAATTGACCCCGAAAGTTGACCCCTGATGGCGCGCTTCCGGAACCCTTGGATAGGAAAAACAAAGATTTTAAAATGTGTAATATTTTCTTCGTTCAATTACTTTTAATTTACTTTTACTTTTAAAAAAATCCAACTCAGAAAAGGGACTTTAGAAAATATTTGCTAGTATGTAAATCTATAAAAAGAAACTGAAAAATAACCTGACCTAGAAGAGAAATACCCTGCCAAAAATTGACCCATCACTTCCGACAATCTAAAATACGTAAAAAAAAGTGCAATGCGGCAGTCTCGTACGGAGATGAGCATTTACGGTTTGAAATTTTATGGTAGTCGAAGCCGAAATAAAAACAGAGATTATTTTACACCCGTTTATAAGTTAATAAACTTTAATGTTCTACTTTTACAAGAGATTCTAATATTTCATCTAACCTTTGCTAACAATAACTGCGTGATGTCAACTCAACGGAATCTGGAACCCATCGACTGTAGGAAGGTAAATCTTTGCAAGGTTGTACAATGTCGTTTTCACGAAAGCATGGGAATGAAAACAAACGTGTATGCATGAACAAGGAGACCTATAAGTTCGATATCGCCGGACATGAAAGGTCGTTGATAAAGTTCGATTTTTACCCATCTTAAGGTGACTTTTCCTAAATATTACTTGAGGAAGACAAAGATAAAATTCCAACATGAGTTTTTCATGGGGTGGTTTCAGTTAGTAATTGCTCTTCCACAAATTATCGAAAGTGATAGGACGGCCCAATGTAAAATCCCCAAAGGCAGACTGCGCGTGGGTTCCGGAAGCTCGCTGCGTAACCTTTTACTTTCAGGCTGGATACCGGAATGTAATAGAAATTTGCGTGCATAAAGTGGTCTTTTTTTCTGTCTGTTGTGTTTCAGCTCTTGGCAATTTCTATCAGAACCCCTCTGCTTAAGTGTAACCAAATTGGAACGGCTGGTTCATTGGATTTGTTGCATAGTGGTTCTATTTTTTATTTGCCTGATGAATGGATAATCGATTATTCTGGCCGAAATCGAAACTCTTGGACCGTGTTGAAGGAAAAAGGAAGAAGTTGACCCTAGCAGAGCGAAGCGGTTCCATTTTGTCGGTTTTGCAATTGACAGACCAGTTCAAGTTTGGACAATGAGGGATCGATAAAACTCACTTCAGAATCACTCGTGAAGCGCGGACCGAATAATGGCACTAGCCTTGATATACCGCGAGCTGCAGCGCATAACGAGGTTTTTCGTCAGAGGAGCGACGTCGAACAAAGGAATGCTGATGCTCCGGTCTTTGATGACTCTTTCGACCGACTGTTTACCACTTGCAGATTGCATGAAGGACAGATGCATTGTAAAATATTATTACTATTATTGGGAAAAATTGTTTTTGTTTGATTTTGAGGTAGTGAATAATGGAGTTTAGTATGAAACTTTATTAGCCGGTGGACATAGTGAAGTAAACGGTACCAGATTTTGTCGCATGAGTCCTGATGCTTTGTAAACTATTATTGCTATCATTAATTGTAGAAAAATTGTTTTGTTTTTGTTTGATTTTGAGGAAGTGAACAATAGAGTCCAGTATGAAACTTCATTAGCCGGTTGACATTATGCAGTAAACCTACCGTTTATCATAAGATTTTGTCCTTTATGTCGATGACAGAACAACAGACTGAGATATTTTTGTGTATTCCAGTTTGTATTTGTTGTTGTTGTCGTCGTTGTCGTCGTCGTTGTTTTCAGATGCTCCGAAAATTTCATGGAAAAATGACACATTGCATTGTTCATGCAAGTTCACAGTTGTCCTTTAAAGAAACCAACAAAAACTCTGAGGAGGGAAAATAACATTTGATAGTATCAACGCAGATCTGATTTTGTCAAAATAAATAGCTGCACTAATATCACATGACTGAACGTAAGGTCAATCATACGGCATGTTACGGTTTAAATGTCGCAAGTAGACTGATTTAATATGGACAGCAACGGCACGTTATAAACGCAAGTGAGGCCGTTTGTCAATATATGTCTTTAATGCAAGAAGATTAATAGCAATACACGAGCTAGGATGAGATCGGGTTGGCAGGATATATGGCACAGTACCAGATCCAGAATGCTGACTTTCTGTTCCAGGAGCTGAAACACAAGTCTGACATAAACAGCACAATCTGGACGCAATCCAATCATGATGGTGCTTGCATTTTGACCAAAAAAAATTAATGATTGAGAAGGTTTCCGGCATACAAATGAAATGTTGACCAGTGATTTTATGATACCGGGACTAGGATCACTTGGGGATCGGGGCTTTGTCCGAGCACGTAAAATCATAAGTGGTTCACGAGAACCCATAAACACACAGAGAGACTACAGATAATGGAACAGAGTGGAAACGAAAGGGATGGAAAAAAAGCGCCACTCTGACAGTACTAAAGGTCGGCAGCTGGAGAACACGTCAACAGGCGGTCTAGATGCGTATTTTTTTTGGGCCGGCATCTTTCCGGCCCGGCCCATTGAGATGCCCTCGCTCCCGGGGTTGGACAACATGTCGGGTTAATTTAGCTGTCAAAATGAGTGGAGGATCATCCCACAACAGCCCGGCCATCTGAGTCTTTCCCCCCATGATGGAATGACAATGGACGAGCAAGAGGGGCTTCTTCGTTCCTATGGTGATGGTGTCATCACTTGGGTCATTAATCTCCTACTCCGTGTTGACATGAGATGAGACTCTTCCTTCTCACGGCTTATTACTTATTAAAGGGACTCTGTCTGCGAAATGAATATGTATTTGTCCAAAAGATGGTGTCATGCGAGCTATCCCGTTCAACCTGTTCTGGATTGCCATCCATTTCGGTCACAAATCCTGTCGACTGCCTTCACATACCGATTCAGATGGCCCAACGAAAACCCGACCATTTTTTCTCCGCTCATTCCTCCATAGTTGGAGAGGATTATTAACTGGTCAAAGCATTTAACAAATTGTAAAGGAGACGTCTGTTCGTTCCAACATGGGCCTTATTAAATCCACGTTAGAAGAAGAGAACAGTATTTCCATAAAAATAACATTTCATTCTGTCGACAAGAAACTGCAAAGAGAGAAAACTTCGGATTGATATCCATTTACTTCATCGGATCAGTTTTCCGGTCTTGTGATCTCTTTTCAAGTATAAATATCTTTCCAGTCTGCACCTGATGGTATTTTTCAGTACAAATCGTCTGGTCTTTAGTTCCAGTCTTTGGAAATGAGTGTAACAAAGAAAGTTCTGAAATGTTATTTTGTCAGCACCTAAAAAGATGCATTCCGTCCAGGGATGTAGGCCTAGTTCACTTTTCACGACTTTCCTTTTTATAGTCTTCCACAGGACAGACAGATTAACACAAACGCTACCCTGATAATTACAGAATCATCTCCGAATTTCTTTGTCAACATGCTCAACCTGTCCTTGACAATCGTGCCCGCTTACAAAAGAAGTTCGAATCCTTCATACTCTTATTGCAAAACCGTTTGTCAACAAATGAAAGGATCGGTAACTTCAACGAAAATCCAACCAAACTCGATATTGGACAGTGACGCGGTGATACCAATGTGTCGTTTTCACTAGTCTACAGTGGTCATTTCATCCATAGTCCCACCTAAATCAGAAAAACAATAAGTAAATTCCCTCTCCAAAATGTACAATTGTTTAGCCCCCACCTGAAACAAAGCAGCACATGACTTGTAGCCAGTGCCGCCAGTGTCGCGCTTTTTTAACATACGCAAATGTTTGTTCACAACTTTGATACATGACCTCGTGGCTTCCATTTTATGAAGTGAAGTCTGTCTGATGTATCGCCCGTCTCTGATATTTGAATTTCCATGGAATCTCCGATGGAAAGAAAGACGTATTGTTATTGGCCGAATAATTAATGTGTTGGTGGAAATGATACGCCCACAAGAGCACATTGCGCACACGACATAAAAGGCGCGACTCAAACTATAGGCCTATAGCTTAATTAGCATACAGCTGTTGCGTGCACCGTTATGGGCCCAACAGCCATAATCGCATCATTACTTAGTGGGGTGCGAGCAATACACACCCTACTGCACGTGTGGTTCTATCGGCACTGAGACAAAAAGGCCACAATACAAAGTATAAACCCACCCACACCATTCAAGGGAGGTTGAATAAGCAGTTCGAAATCTTTGATCGAATAATGTCGCTCTGACGAATTAATTCCGCGTAGCGTTTTGACGCGGGCGTTTCCAAATTTATGAAATCGTTCATCCGAAACAACATGCCCCATATAGCGGCACTGAACACTCATTGTCAAGAAACCTCATATAATTCTACAACTCAATCGCGAAGAACAAGAAGAACTTAAAGCTTTTAACAAGTTTATTTGAAACTCTTTTCGAATCACAAAAGTAGGCAGGAATTCAAAACTTCAGTCAGTGAACCGCGTCTGCTGACTTTTGCTCTGTAAAACCTGATATCGTTTTTAGCAGAAATGACCATCTATATGGATCGCCGTATTTCTACATGATATTTTTAACCCAAATTTCGGATGAATGGTAAAATTCAAGCTATTAAAAAACCGTAAAATGTACTACTTGCAATAACAACGCCTGTAGTGAAATAAACCTCTATCTGGCTGGTGGGTTGTCGGTCAAGTTTTACTGAATTATTCGTCCAAACGCATGCGTGCAGCCTGATTACAAAATAAAAGTAATGTTCCACGGTAAATCAAAATCCTATTCCGAAGAAATTTCTAAACTCGCAGGTTATTCAGAGATTTATTCAGGTAGTGATACTGAAGAGTTTCTTAGATGATACAACGATTTTACAAGGATTTGTTCAGGCGAAAATGTTTCACATTCGTGCTGTGGAAAAATATGACAGACAGATGAAATGTTCTATAACAATCATAAATATTCATTAATTTCATTCATCATATTAAATGTACAAGAAAGTGTTTATAGAGTTGTCGTCTTTTATTGATAAGGGATAGGAAGGGACGTTTGAATTTATCCTATTATTGTTTTACAGTTTGCGCCTCGAAAAATTTACGATTTCTGGTAAAAATGGTCCTCACAGATACTTTTGGGAATTTTGGAGACAAAATAGTGAAAATTTGGTAAAATGTTAGAAAATTTTGGGGCAACGGTTTCATAAAAGATAATTTGTCAAAACATTTGAGGATGGGTTATTTTGTATTTTGCTTGCATGATTTGCGGCTTTCTATATGTTATAATATTTTTTTTATAAAGGTCAAAGGTACGATGGTCTACGCTCTCCACAAAGCTATGCCAACCCGATACGTCCACTCTGTTTGTCAGTTCACTCGGGGCTGTGAATTATGAAAAACGAGTTAGTCCCCAGTGATACCCTTGGTGCCAAAAATTCAGATTTCCATGCCAAATCTTTCACCTTCTCTGACGTGCTGGTAATAAAACAAAGCAATTGGCATTAAAACCAAATATGTCATAAAAGTTTACACCGTTTACGGAGTTGCCGATGGTGCTGTGTTCGGTGTGAGTACATGCCGTCCAAACAGTGCGCAACTAAAGTAGTGGTGGCGTACGCCTGTGTGACCCAGCTTTAGGGGCCCCAGCCGTGCCATACCAGGTTGGAACTCCTTTCGTTTTTGGTTAGCTGGCTTCGGTGTCAGTGCGTGCAGACTCCGTCACTCATCGAAACATTAATTTTATTAGGACCTAAGTTGTTTTCAGCGGTACTATAAATTCATGACAGTACCGTGAGAACTAGAGGCTCTGTTCGTGAGTATTGGGTTTGTTTTGTCTCCATGGTGCAATCGTCTTTCCAGCACTGAGCTCCATAATATCAACATCAGTGCTGTTTTGAAGCGCCCCCTTCTTGCGTGTTTGCATTAATTACTTCCATGCTACGGTGTCACAGAAGATGCGAAAGTCACATTGGCGTCGAATTAGCTGACAGGAGTTAGCAAGGGTGGGGTTAGCCCTTCCAATTCTCCCTGTATGAGCGGTGAAGGACGAGGGGGTCAGGCATCAACATAACATGATAAACAGGTGCTGGGCTGGGACATCACGAACGAGCAAACTTCAAGTATGAGCAAAGCAGCGCCCTCAAGGTGGTCGCAAATAACACGGGCCCTTACGGAAGTCACTGGCTGGGCTAGGCTAGGCTAGGCTGCACTCACTATCCGCGGGCGGCGGCTTCATGCAACCACTCCATGCATATCACAATAGACCAGGGTCGAGTTGTTGAAGGTCAGTCGACTTTGATTCGCTTTCAAAGTTTCATATTACCGCAGATTTAACACTTATTCCGAAACAGAGCTTTTCTTATTATCAGTGATTATACATGTAAGTAGGTATGCCTATGTGTAATTTTACTGGATAAAGTTAAGTAAGTTGGCTCAGTATAATGTAAGTTTAAAGTAGGCCTTGTTTCACTGTCGGATCACGATAGAGCAAGGAACAGATTGCATGTTCAAATTTGCTTGCTGCAAGGTCACGAAGTCTGGGCATAGCATAGAGCAAGGAAACAGGACGGCCGGCCATCTCACTAGGCCGGGAATTGTAAATTTGGGGACCCTGTTCCTATAATAGAAGGGAGAGCTACATTTTAACTTTTGAATTTACCTTGACAGATAACTGTGACATCATGCTCGATAACCAGGGTTACTGTTGTCCAAAAAGAGCAGTGTTTTGAGTTTTGAGGGAAATTTTGAGGGGAAACTGAGTGTTTTAACATGTGCCACATGGTGGATTCAAATTGGCATGGTTAGTTTACCAGTAAGAATGTCACATTTTCTCACAATTTACAATTTGAAATTTCCAAAACGTAGGGTCAGTGGAATAAAGAGAGTGATTGCCTGTTTGGGGGGGGGACTTACCAGTTTTGCAAGATTAAAATGTAACCAAACTGGGGGGTCCCCAAGTATACAATCCCCACTAGGCCTAAACGTGTTTGTTTCCAGTGAGAAAAATTAAGGCTTACTCATGGGTAAGTAAAAATTAGAAGCTTACAAAATGACAAAAGATAGAATTGGTTCTTGGTAGTAGGGGTGGAAATGTGAAAGTGTTATGTCAGATATCTTTTCCTACATGTACCTCCGTGGTCATACCATGGAGGAATAAAACACATCTGACCATGGAGGAAGCACACAGAAGGAGTTACAACTCTAGCACATCAAAGTGCTCGATGATCATTGCTGCGCAGTCAGACAAACAATAGTAAACATTCCCAAAATCCCTGATTACTGCCTGCAGCTTAGCCAGACAAGTGGGGCCAGTAATATCGTAGCAATATTTGTGGTGTTTTCTTTGCAATTAACTACAATGTATCACAGTGACCGGGAAACAGAAAGAAAAAATATCCAACATTAGATTTACTTTGGCCGTTTTGAATAATTTTAAAAGATTTTGATGCCCTTTTCCATTATCCATGCGTATGTTTGTAATATTATTTTGTCACTCCAAAACATCAGTTTTCAAAGTCTATGCTAAGACTTGCCAACAACATGTTGAACACCACAGGACAGTTAAGTTCACGAAAAACAAAATGCGCTGTTTCATCACAGGGAGTGATCATGAGTTCTCATACAATACGGTTTTGTGTAAATTGTAAATTCCATAATAAAAATGATTCAAATAAAACTCAAAATCTCACAAACAGCTTGGCTATTTATTCCCAAAAAAAGTCCAGAAGAAAGTGTTCGATAAGGGCAACAACTGCACATGAACACTTCGGGTACACGGCCTAATTCAAGCAACTGCGCAAGCACTAAATTTGATGTTGTCAGATTACACCAAGCACAAACGATGGCATGAATTTTCAACTTCCTATACTGCAGTACACAACATTTTAAGGATGCAGATTACCGAAAAATTGTGACGTTGATCATGGGGTACGAAGGGGACTTATGGTTGCAAACAGGTGGTGCGTAGCAAGCGTGCGTTGGGCTCTGGCCGTGGACATACATGCACCGGGCATGCCAGAATGCGGTAATTGGCCAGATATTATAGCCTGCGTAGTTCAAACTCCTTCTGTGTCCTTCTTCCATGATCTGACCCAAGGACATGACTTAAGTGAAGGGGTACGTTGACACGTAACCCATCATACATGTAGACGAGTTGGAGAGGGCATAGGCCTGCTGTGTTAATGTACGTGAACATGTTGAGCACCTGACTCGGCCTTCATATAGTTACTACTTAATACTAATAATACTAGTCTGTAGTGGTGTATAAAGGAGAACATGCCAAAAGTATAGTTCTTCAAACTTCTTTTTCTAAAGCGCAAAGACAGCTAACCACTCCAAAAATGACTTCCTGGAATGTTTTACATACATTCATTGTTAACCAGCTAGCTCTGATTTGTACCCATGGGAATTTTTTGATATTTGGCAAATTTCCCAGTGCCATAACTGTTCATTTCAGGTAATTACACTCCTGCTAAATATTTAAATCTACCATTTCTTCATTTTGTATGATTTCCAAACAGATCCTGGACCCTGGTACCTGTGTGTGCCCTAGGACACCGCTTTGCACGAGACGTTCCTTCTAATGTTGGTCAAAATGCCAACTGCAAATGGTGAGTATTTGATCCTAATTTGGTAAGTTATCAAAGTTTGTGTATGATCCTTTTAAATTTTGTCCCTGTAGACTAATCTAAGGAGACGCTTTCTTTAAGCTTGGCAAGCGCATGTATTTGATAAATCATGGCACTCTATTGTTTGAGGCGTGTAAAGCCTGGTTTCCATATGATCGTTTGTAACGCAGACTGTCCGCAAGACATGAAGATGCGGACACGAACAGAAGAGACAGTGCATGATGTCATTCCACCCAAGAATTGAAACAAAATGGCATCTGAAGCTCTGGATTTTGCAGAAAATACCCTTTTAGATTGACTGTACCACATCTTGATGCCAATCTGTACTCCAGTTTCATGTATTTCGTTGATGGTCAACTGTTTAGTTGATTATAAGGGTGTAATATAAAAGCATTAAGGAGAAAATGGGCAAAATTAATGGAACTAAGTGAGAGGGACATCGTTATATGCCGGTCATGCCAGCATGTGTGTTTGTATGGGGATACTACGGATAGGCCTACTCAACGCGGGCAGTCGGCAAAGTTGAACCTGGCTCAACGTTGCCGATCGTTCGCGGGCTGGTTTGCATTTGTCTGCGTTGTCTGTGTTGCAGTTTGCATCCTGATTGCGTTACCCTCTGCGTTTCGTACGTCAATGTGGAAATCAGGCTTAATGTGCGCGTACCACCTGTCCATGAATGTTGTGACACCAGAGTAATGGCCTCTAATTCTGGTCACCAAATTGCACTTTGTGCGTGCAGTGTCACCGTTGAGTCTATTACAAGTTTCGCTGTCTCATTCAAGTCAATGTTAGGGTCCGTGCACTATGAAAGCGGTGGAAATTTCTTTCGGTACGTGAATCAATATGTCAGTAAATGTCCACAACAACAATGGGCCCCCTCCTAGTTAGAATCTCAGCCGCACCCACTCTGGTTCCAGCAATTCCCCCAGCCAATCTGTGACGTCATACTGGTATCATTGAATAAGATCACTTAGGTTTCTGAGCCCTGCAGTTTATGTACCCTTTGTGAAAACACTCCCATGGGAATCCATTGTTCTTTATATTTTTTACGTGCAGAATTTTGTCGTCGCTTGTCTTTGTAACTTTATGCCTCAACTAAAGAACTGGGTAATATTCTCGACAATTTTGTCTGAGACAGTCCTAATTTATCACACTGCAGTCAGGTTTGTTCATAGCTATACATAATGCAAAGTTTCATTTAAAAATTCTCCATGTGTTCCAGTCTTTGCAGTTCGTACCCAGCAGAATTTTGATTTGACACTTCATCAATGGCACATACATATACTAAAACTAGAGTTTAATTCCATGGCAAATGCTGTGTGGCACACACTGGTACCCTGTGTCAGCATTGGGACCAGTAGTCTACAGGTGCAGAACACATTCAAATGAACTGTAGCAAAAGCAATGTACCTCTCTCTGTCACTTGTTCCTCCTGTGTTGCCAGTGGACAAACCTGTTGATCAATATGTGTGACTGGAATCATGCTGGACTCCTGTGCAACTTTGCCTACTGGCCTGTGTTTCTCACTGTTAACAAATGTTCACAGAAACTGATTGTGTAACCTCCAATGTGTCCTAATTTGACACCAGATTTGACTGTATTAAACATTGCCAAAATTACTTTGCCTTTCAAATGCACTCTTACCAGCAAAGGAAAAGACAGGCGTGTGGGAATTTTTTCAAGCAGGCTGGAGTATGTGCCGCGGCGTATGCACAAAGACTGTACATTTAATAGTTAGTCATACATGCTCAGCACGCCCTGAGGTAAACACACATTTAGTGAGTTCCCACCAGATTACTATTCAAAAAGACACCACCCTCTTGTTCCTGCTAAGAGTGAATAGAGCCAGCTTTTCAAGTAACAAGGTTGAATAACAAACTGGCTGCGCTGAGTAAACTTCGTCTTTGTTAAAGGGTAAATATCAAAACATGAATGGTAAATCTTGGCAATGTTGATTTTAATAGAATTGTGCATACTTTTACCCAATACTAGTTTCACTACAGGTATTTTTTATTTGTGATCAGGTGAATTGTTTGTGATTGGTGTTGATGTGGGTGGGACAAACACGGATGCCGTTTGTTTGCAAGGTAGCCGTGTTGTTGCCACCAGTAAGGTTCCAACCACCGAGAATGTCACTGATGGATTGCGGGAAGCGCTGTGTAATGTTCTCAGCGAGTCAAGGCAGATCTTGGGTGAGTTTAGCCAGACGGGATTTTGCTCTTGCTCGTAGACTGTATCCAGAGGCTCATCAAGTAGTTACCCTTCGGCTCAAGAAAGGGGATATTTCAATAGAGAGAGTTGAAAATTAATAAGTAGGGGATACGGTGTCTTCCAGCCCCATAATTTTGCCATGAAAATGTCGTTCGTTTCTGAGGGTTGTGAAACTTGGGCACTTTGTAGGTCAGGATGTTCCCGTCAGCCGCATCAACATCGGGACCACGCACTTTGTCAATGCCGTTATTCAGAGGACGGACTTGACCCCGGTTGCTGTCATCAGGCTGTGCGGCACGGCGTCCCACATGATGGAACCATTCATCGACTTCCCGCTGGATCTCAAGCAGGTATCGTAGAGCACACCACATTGCTTCAGTTTGCCAATGACCTTTGCCAGATTTTTCTTATTCTTACAATGGATGTTTGGATGGGTATGCGTCTCTTTCAGCAATTCCTGTTCTACAGCTGAACTGTTGGGAGAGTTTTTTTTTGTCTTTGAATAAATCAAAGCAGTTCATTGTTTCAGTAAGTTCTAGAAAATGCTTAGGGACTCGTCTGTTATGTGCTTAATTCAGAAATTCTCAGTGACGGAAGTTATTCCAGTCATGACAATGACATCAGCTCATTCATGTGAAGTGGAAACAGAAATTTGCAATCAACAATGCTTGAAGGTTTGATTTTTCAGAACCAAATTCCAAATATCATTTGGTCTGTCGTAACTGGAAACTGCAGGCTGATTACCCTCGGCCTTTACATCTGTCTACACTGTCCCAGTTTGTGATACAACTTGTAAGGCAGTCAGCCAAGGAATAGCCACTCAAAACTCAGTGAAATTTCTCCTTTTTGTTTAGATTGTGTGTGCCTCCATCCATTTGGTGAGTGGTGGTTACCAGTACAACGGGGAAGAGATCACGCCACTGGATGAACGTGAGCTGATTGGCTGCATTCAAGACATCCGGGCCAAGGGCATCAGTAATGTGGTGGTCAGTGGCATCTTCTCTCCGGTGAATCCTGCCCAGGAATTGAAGGTTTGTTGTTGTCACTGGCAGACCAATCCTAGTTTGCCATCACTGGGATGGTTTTCACGATTTCATTCAATTCTAACCATAACAAGTTTGCTCCAACCAGCCAAACTACCAGGCTGGAAAAAAAGAAGAACTCAACAGACGTGGAGAGTCCACTCTACGTGGACTTTTCTAGGCTAACTCTCTGTTCTTAAGTTTACAGAATGCAAAGTGCTTTGAGTTTAAGCTTAGAGCAACATTACCAGCAATAGTAAAACCAGGTCACAGTTATTGCAAGCTTTGATTTCCGCCGAGCTTTAGTTAGGGAAGGAGTTCTTGCTGGCATTGTTTCCGCAACTGCCACCATGTTTTTACAGCTGTTGTTACCTCTCTGAAACCTCCATTCTATTCTGAAAGGTCCCGGGTTCCAGTCTGTGCACATGCTGTACACCGTTCCTTGAGAGAAGTAGTCATACAGCCCCACCCAAAGGCTTGAATTTTCGTTGTTTGCCTCATTTCCTCAACAAGTAGGCACACAGTTTTTAACGTTTCATGGAGTATCTTTCCCACCACAAAGGTTGCTGAACTCTTCGCTGTCCACTACCCGTCAGCTGGTGTCACCCTGTCGCACCAGGTGGGCCAGCTCAGCCTCCTGGAGCGAGAGAACGCCTCTGTGCTCAACGAGTGTCTCAAGCCGCTGTGCTCCCGCACCGTAGCCACCTTTGCCCAGACCCTGGCCGATCTGGGCCTGGCCTGCCCATTCTTCCTCACCCAGAACGACGGCACAGTAATCAGGTGAGTGATGCAGACACACACGCCCTCTGTCTAAATCAACTGGCTGCGGCTCAAATAACGATGTGTTTATGGGGGGTGGCTGCTACTACTAACCAGTGGCTCCCATAGGAGCACATGTAATTTCTAGCCATAGCCATTTATGACATGCTGAGCTAGCCACAGAGGCTGAGATAAGCTAGCACTTTTTGATACCTGTGTTTTTGTAATGCCCTCGTCACAGTCTCATGCAATCATAGCAGAAAATTAGACAGTAAATCCAGAAAGTCCAAAACTGGCAGATGGGCTGTTATCCAAACTTGGTTCAGCTCCAGCCCATTGTTTTAATGTCCTAATTTCGTACATGCGTCGAGTGTCATCAGTTGCAGCTGATAAAAACACAGCTTTTTGCCATCTGTAGGAAATAAGTCTAATTAGTGTTCAACGATGTGTTGCATCATGCAGCCGGTAGCATGAGTCAGCTGGCATGGACAGTCATAAACCACAGTGCTTGCTCATCATTAACATACAATGACACAATCTGTGCATAAGTCACATGTTGGGGGTGCAACCATATAACTACAGACTTGTTGTGTTTGCCCCTTTTGAACAGTTGGTGTACTCTCTGTCGGTGGAGAAAAAGGGGGGGGGCAGGGATTTTGCCATCCTACCTCCTAACCAGAGTCTTTTCTGAAATCAGTGAAAAGTCAGAAAGCGTACAAAAAGTCACAATTAGGCCAGTTTACACTTAAGTGAATGGGAAAATGGAACGATTTTAATATCATGAAACATTTGCACTGAAGATTACTCAGTTCAGCATCACCAAATGTGTTCACTTTGCTGCCAAACTGGCCTTTAGAATTGTTCCACAATGTATAAAAAAAAATTGACCTTCGACCCACTTCACCATTTGCTCACGCCCCTATGCCTAGTGCCGCTATTCAAAACATTTTTCAGGGCATAACAACAACTGAGCCTGTTGTCTGGGACCCTAACACCTGCATACTGCCAAAACACTTCTGCTTACTTTCAGATTGTAGTCGGACTACAACTATTGGAGGTTGATGTGATATGATCACAACATTCTGTTTTATATATCAGTTCTGAGCAAGCACTGAAGTTCCCAGTGCACACATTCTCGTCCGGGCCCACCAACAGCATGAGAGGGGCTGCCAGTCTTTCAGGTGATTTTTTTTACATGTAATTCTTTCACCATCTGCCCTTTCACTAGCAAAATGGTTTTTAAATTTGATTGTTTTGCCTTCATAAAAACATCACCGACAAGGTCAAGGACAACAGGCCCACCGCGAACGGAATCAGAGTATATCAAAGGAACCCATGTTCAAGTATTCAAAAAGGACAAAGAGAGAGATGTGACAGATACGTATCGGCGTCACTCCTGCACGTCTGACGCCTTTGTGCACATTCAGTGGAAAAGTGGCAAGGTGCACTTTGTGCCACATCTTTGCAAACCAGTGCACTCACCCTCTATTGTCCCTACACATCAGCCGCTGTCAAGTACTTTACACCACACTATTTACCATTCCTGCATGTAGATTATTGAAGGTGTTACAAATCTTGTCAGAGTTTTCATTTCAATCCCATTGCTCAGAGATTTCAACATAACAGCATGCTTTCACAGGTTTGGTTGGAAATAGGTACCTGCTTGTCATACAGTCAAGTGTCTCTTTACAGAACCATGATTACATTTTAAAGGGTAGCTGCAACCAATTTGTTTTAATACAAACCTTCAAAATGCCCCTTTGTGTCTCACCTAATCTCATTTTCCCACTTTTTTCACTATTTCAGAAGGTATTTAACTGCCTTTTTGGTTTTTATGCTAATGAATTTCTATATTCATGAGGAAAACTATGATGTCATCCCAAGCACCAATCCCTTTCTCAGAAATGTTTTCAGTAAGTAAATTCAGGATTCTGAATTTGAACAGATAAACCTATGCACTGAGCTACATCTTTCCTGGATGACATCACTACAACAGTGCCCTCGGCCAGAAATGGTTAAAGCAAATAAGTAATGGTAAAAGAGTTTTCATACGTTTAAGAAGATTACAAAGTTGCAGAACACTTGTATCTCAGAAAAATTCATTGCTGCTACAACCTGTGTACCTGTGTTGTATTGTGTTACATGGTATCCATCTCAGGTGTCCGAGATGGCATTGTCATCGACATCGGAGGCACATCATCCGACGTCGGGTTCCTTCAAGGTGGTTTCCCCAAGGAGGCGTCTACCAAAGTCAAAGTGGGTGGGGTCAGCACCAATTTCCAGATGCCGGACGTCGTCTGTAAGGGGCTAGGAGGAGGGTCCCGCATTCAATTCTCTCTTGAGAGTGGACAAATCGTGAGTTGTTCAAGTGAATTTTTGCACCAAATATGTGATGACTTTAGTGAAAGTGCTGACTACACGCATTTGTTGCTAAAGCTGCAAGTGGTTGCAAATAGAAAGAATCTGTAAAACAGTGCTTAGGCAAGAGTTTTTTTTAAGTTGTTGCTCAGAACTGCCAACCTTCTTGATTCAGAACTGGAAAAAAATTTTTTTTTTTATTTTGAGAAGTCTTGGATCCGCTGGCCAACAATTCACCGCTATAATTGTAAAAAAAAAATTGTTTTTGCTCTGCTGTTCCACCGACAGCGACGTCCCTAGTCCTCAACTGCTCTTGCTAGTGGTAAGGGGTACCTCTTTTTCCTGTTTTTTTTTTTCTTTGAAATAAGCAAATTGTGCAGCGACACCGTACATATGTGGCGCAAGGCTTACTCACGGTTCAAAGTTACGCCACGGTTTGTCTAATCGACTGCTGGAGTTTGCTGTTATATTACTCTCTCTCTGTTGAACTGCGGTCAACTTGAATTGCGGTACACGCTTTCAAGGGGTGGGCGGGGGGGAGATAACATGATATTGACATTACTGTGTGCAAATAAAATGAGTTATTAAACCTACCTGTTGAACTGGTGTGGGTTTTTGTCCTCTGTTCTAGACCTCACTGACCATTGGACCTGATAGCGTGGGCTATCTGCTCAATAGGGAAGCCAAGATCTTTGGTGGTCAGACACTAACCACTAGCGACATTGCAGTAGCAGCAGGAATGGCTTCGTTTGGCAACCCTGCCCTTGTGACTGACCTGCCTGAAGACCTTGTCAAGAAAGCAGTGGACAAGATACACGGTACGCTTGAGGATGTGATTGACCAAGTTAAGGTAGGTTGTGTGAGGTCAGCGAGATCCCAGACAATCAGTTTCGATCACTCACCTGACCATTAATTTCATACTCAGCAGTAGTGAATATAACATCTGTATCCTTGAAGGCTTGTATTAATAGAAGAATCTTCCATGTATTTCTGTTACCCTAACGACAAGGCTAATAAGCCTTTTGCAAATCAAATTTGAATAGAATCTGGTACACTGAGTTCTTTAAATTCACATGAACATAACAGTTTGACTTCTCCATACTAAATACGCTGTTGCCATACCTCATGATTCGGGGCAAGCTTTTGCTTAGTTACATAAGAGATTCCTTGCACCAATACACTTTTTTCAATGGATAAGAAGGGCGCAAAGGAACCAGTCCATTCCAGAGATGGCGGTCGCTATGCGAAAGCTTGCCGCGAATCAAGAGGTACAGCAACAGTGTCCGTAGTCTGGGGAATTTATATTGTTCTGTTCGTGTGCAATCAGATAATTTGGTGCACCAGATTTTCTTCCAATTTATCTCACAAAAGGCATATTGAAGTTTGTGGGTCCATGCAAACTGTCAGCGGAGTCTGCTTGGCCACATCTATGAACTGTCACTTTTTTGATGACTAGGTTGTCCACATTTTTCTTAGTCACAGTTTTCCTGCATCTTTGTTCTTTTCTTCATTGTACGAAAACTCTTACGCCCTCCTATTTGGTTAAATGTAATGAAAAGGGCACACTTTAATACAATCAAAATGATGCATGTTTTCAAGGACAACTGAGGGCGCTGTTGTTGTGAAGTCATCTAGGGAAGACATGGGCCGTTTTCCAATACTCAACTTTCATCTCCGTCTGAGGCTTCGTGTAGGAAATCAAATCCCGATCGTGGGCCTGAAGCGTTTAACTTAAATGAAAGTACTGAAATATTTGGCTCTTTTGCATCTTATTTGATGTTTTGTGGCACTATCAGACTTACTGTTGCTCTTACAACCTTAAAGTCAGGAAGTAAAAAACAGTTGAAGCCTGAGAAGGAGCCCCAGTCGAGTGTTTGAAAATGGCCATGGTTCAATGCATAGGTATTTCTGTTCAAACTGTGAACCCAGAATTTACTGACTGAAAACATTTGAGAGAAGGATTGATGGTTTCTTATTCCTATGCACATAAATAACAATAAATTAGCAAAGAAGAGAAAAATTAGTCCAGGAAAATCTACAAAAATGCAGGACTTTTTGTGTACAAATCAGTGTAATATTGAGGCTTCTTCCTGAGTTGATGTCACAGTTTTGCTCATGAATATAGAAATACTTATTAGCATAAAAGCAAAAACTCTTTGAAATAGTGAAACTAAAGATGAAAATAAGGTTTACTGAGGCACAAAGGTGCATTTTACAGGTTTATAATCAAAACATTGATTGTAGCTACCCTTTAACTGTGCAGTGCTGATTCATAAAGGCTGTGCTCCTGCTTTGTCACTGCAGCTGAGTGCCACTGATGTGCCTGTTGTCATCGTTGGCGGTGGCAGCATCTTCGTGGATGAAAAGCGAAGTCTGAAGGGAACGTCTAAAGTCATCAAGCCACCACACTATCAGGTTTGAGCACTTTTGAATTCATGAAACTTTTGATAAAGGCTGTTCCATTATCATCCAAGGCCATGAACATTTTGACACGGTCACTTTTTTATTGCTGTTAAGGATCCAAATTACTGGGCGACACTCTGGTACAGCAGCAACATTGACTGATGTCTGCAAACTCCAAGACTGCATCACATCTGCCAAGAAAAATCTCGGCTGTTTGTGTTCACTGCATTGCTTATTTAGTAGGAAGAACCTAACATGACTTTTTTCCACAATCAAGGGACATTTTTCCAATCAGAACAAAATCACGAATTGCCTCAATTTTAAGGATGATGGATTTTAACCACTTTGCCTAGGAGGATATGTCAACATGATCAGACTGTCTGTACAGGCATGGCTGACGAGTTACACCACCTTGTCTCACCTCTAGCTGGCAATCCGCTGTTTCTTTTGTGAACACACACACTCAGAGTCTGAGGAGATGACGTTGCTGTAACAAGTGTTGTGCAAGTACTGTTCAAAGACTCTTAACGTCCAAGTCAGTACCTGGGTGCATATCAAAAGTTGAAAGGTATATATTGCCTTTTTCACAAGTTCAAATTTTTTTTTGCCCAAATAGTGTCGTCTGCAAGTGGTTAAAAGCAAGGTTGTGTTCATGTTGTGACATTCAGGTAGCAAATGCCATAGGGGCAGCCTTAAGCCAAGTCAGTGGTCTGAGGGACACTGTTGTCAGCCTGGACCAAATGACCAGAGAGGAGGCTTTAGAGGAGGCTAAGCAACAGGCAAAACAGGCTGCCATTGAGCATGGTGCCCAGCCAGACAGTGTACAGGTGAGTGTTGTACGAAACTGAATGGTTTCACCAAAGATTTGAACTTACTCTCAATTTTCCAAGCTACATATGTCCATTACTCAGTCTAGATAGCCTACCTCCATACAATCCCATGTATGTATGTTTTTTTTGCCTTCTTAGTTGTTAACAGATTGATTTCCATCCACTGGACTAACTTAATTACTTATAAATGAGCTCAGCTTGATAGAGTTGTACAACTTAACAGTACCTGTGCTGTCTGAAGTGTTTCATTTTCCGAGCAGAACCCTTAACTCGGTGAAATGACATGGTCTTTACATTGAATGAAATTGATGACTTTCTTTATTTATTTCAAGGCTCAAATTGAAGTACCAAAAGAACCCGAGCAATGAGGCTGGATGATTGTCTTGAAATTGTAAACAGGCTTATAAAAATAGAAGAAAATATGGAGCTGCGCAGAAGTTGCTTGTACCTGATGATTCATTTTTGAAAATTTGGGTCGAACCTATTGATGAAAGCAACTACATTTCCCTGTAATCTACAGATTACCGAGGTGACTGTAACGCCCCTTGCCTACGTCACCAATAATGCCACGCGCATCAAGGTGAAAGCTGTCGGTGATCTGAGCATGAGGGAGCCCATCACGGTGGCAGCGTACGATGCTCCACCAGTGACTTCTGCTGTAGGAAAGGCTGTTGTTGCTGCTCCCAGAGGCGATGCTCCCGGCCAAGGTAGGCTTTGAATCACAGTTGCGGGGTGGAGGGGTGATCCATCCTCTACACCTGCAGGAGAATGCCACACTGTTCTGGAGAGTTACGATGACCTTACTTTCACCAGTCGCATTATGGTACGATTCCACAAGGAACTTGTCCCAGGCACGGTATTGTTTTGGATGGAAAAAAGAAAACATTTGAAAATGACAGGATAACACTGCCACATTCCCTTACAAAGGTAGACTTTGTGGATACTGACCCTTTAGGGGGTCATTTGAACAAGATTTGTGTCAACATTTCTTACCGTCAAGGCTGTCAAGTAATATTTGCCACGTTACATTCAATCCTTTGAGTATTCAACACATTCTCAACCTCCGTGGATGAGGTTAAGCTACATTGCCCTGCCTACAGACATGGCTAGGACATGTTCAAATGTTGTCCGTTTAACGGGCACAGGAAATCCTTCCATGTTATACATCCTGTGGAACTGGTTTAGAATGACAACAGAGTTTGGCATTCCCACTTTCAGCGACTGCCAATATACCAGCACCGGTGCCCTCCGCTGCCCTGCCGGACCCCCAGGTTGACCCGGTGACCGGTGAATGGATCCTGTCTGCATTTGACGTGGAGTGCATTGCCATAGGGGCGGGCATTTTGGGCTGTGGGGGTGGGGGAGATCCCCACCTTGGACTGCTCAGCGCCCTGAAGATGCTGCGGGAGGGGAAGAAGATAAGGATCATTTCTCCTGAGAGGTGGGCCACTTTCAAAAAAAAAATTGGAGGCCCCTTTTTGAAGGATCCTTTTTTTTCTCAGGTATTAAAAATGACCTGTTGTCTCACAGTTTGTAACTTTGATGTCTGGAAATGTTTGGTTTTTTGTGCATGTTTTACCAAAGCTCCGTATCACTATGCACATCCACCATGTTGTGGTGTCTCGTCACACTTGTTTGGTATAAGTATGGCGCAAAAATCTGCCAAGGAGATCAGCCATGTGGGCAGGTTTTCTCAGTGGTTAGAAATTTCTGACAGTTTTTGAACACCCAAGACATTTGACATAGGTAAATAAGCACTTGGGCTGTAGATTGAATGAAAGAGTGGATCACGTCGTATACTTAAAAAGTTGCGGTCAAAAAGTAGACAGCACGAAATCTTACCTGTCAGTTTTGACATTAAAACGGATGTTTATTTTTATTTGAAAACAGAATCCCCCTTACAGGTTCAATTTAGTCAAGGTCTCCATGCAGGTGCATAGGAAGAATAGGTTGTTTCAAGACATGGCAAAAATTGGAAACCATCTCTGAAATACTGTGCATGTAACAGTGACTTACTGACCTCGAAATTCTGTTTTGTTTCATATTGAAATGTGTCCTCGTGACTCTGTGTCATTGCCTTTCACAGGTAAGTTTATTGTTGTTTTTCCCGATTGTAGGCTGGGCTCTACCCCAGAGCTGACCGGTCTGGTGGCTCCCGTCGCCTTCATGGGGGCTCCGGGGATCGCCATTGAAAAACTGAAGGTTGGCCGTGAGTTCACACAAGCTGTAGAATGCATCCAACAGTTAGTGCAGGCTGGATATGGAGACAGGGTACCAGATAGCATAGGTAAGCCCAAAGATTGTCCCTATTCACAGATGACCTCTGATTACATAGGTCACAGCTGACCTTGTAAAAAACGGGACATACATCGGCATTTAACTTTGTATAGAAGCAAAAGAGTGTTTGGAATGAATTAGGAGTACAAACATTGGCGGTTTTTATTGTGATAACTATCAGATGCTTTTACTAGTTAACTAGATTAGCATCCAGTTAACTAATTAGCATCCAGTTAACTAGATCAGCATCCAGTTAAACTTTTTCGACTATCTTGCGATGCTACCTGCTGGCAAACTTAGTGAAACACTTAAAATAGACAGGAATGCACCAATCATGCATTCATTAAAAAAAAACTGAAGATATGCCACGACGCTGATAAGCTGATGTATTTCAATTGATAGCAACCTCATAATATTGCAGTGGGAACCAGTTTTACTCTACTTATTATTATCTTCATTGCTTTTGCCCGTTACTGCTAACAAATTTCCAAAGTTTTCTACAAAACATTTTCACGAAGCTCTTTTGTCATTTTATTTTCCAAAGAGGGAGTTCCAGTCAAGGGAGACAGCGGGGTAGTGTACATTGATGACTTCCCGAAGGTGGGGAGTAGTTCAGCTTCTCTCGCACCCCCAGCAGGTAAAGTTGCTCTTGTCTGTTCGGCCAATCAGGAAAAAAGCCAAGCTTTTGCTAATCTAATCAGTCCACTCAGAAACATGTGTAGGGCCATTTTTCACTCATTTGGAAAATGGACTTAAATACCAAATTTAAATATCACGTTTGCATTCTGTAAACTTATGATGACAATGCGTAAGCCCAGATTCAGGAAACTAACCATGCAAACCAAGAGCATGACATCTCCAGGTCTTGGGTCCTGGAGGCAAAACTCAAAAATTTTTCCTCATGTCAAATTTTTTCATCCATGCTATAATCTTCATTAACTCATCCCCCAGCCTCCCTGAATGGTGATAGGCCTTGTACTATTTCTACAATAAGTAGATGGCTTTTTGTTTTCATGAGAATGATTGATTTAAAATTCTGTTTGCGCTCGAGTGTTTGATAAATTGGTACCTTTTCGGTCGTGGCCTGTGACAGGAAGCACTAGCCCGAGGCATGATTTTTATTGTCCGAGGCATTGGGTGAAAGGATTTGTCAAGCCGTGACCTGTTTCTGTTGAGTGAATATTTTTGGAAGTCTGTGAGATTTGGCCCCCTGATTTGGAAAAATTTGGCCAAACTAGAAGGTATGATTGAGCTGGAATGTTCCCAATTTCCCACAGGTTCTAAAGTGGTTGCCTTAATGAGTGCTGAGATAGGGGGCACCAATGGCATTGAGCCCTTAGTGGTAGGGGCCATGTTGAATTTACCCGTTGTCGACTGTGATGGAATGGGACGAGCCTTCCCGGAACTGCAGGTAGTCAGTAAAGCGTAGCATGTGACCAAAATCCAGATTTGTTCAACAGAAAGAAAGCAGATGTATATAAAATATGCATATCACGATTGTTCCTGTGAGATGGAAAGCCAGGCAGAGTTGCTTGCCATTCACTTAAGAAGTTACATGAGAGATGTCATTTCCAAACAGGGGAATCTAAAGTTACTAACTGGCCTAGGAAACGTTTTCCACTTGTCTCGTTAATGAGCTCAGTGTCTACAGCTCTTAACACACTGACAAGTTTTTCCTGTTAATTTAAGTCACACTACAATTCACAGGAAAATATTGAAAAACAAGAGAGAAAAGCTTGACTTAGGCAGACATGACATCAAATTTAATTTTACTGCTCCTAAAGAGGAATTGAGAGGAACAAAAATGTCCCGGAATGACTGCAGGGACCACTTATTGTTGTGAGAGTTGCTGTTCTCGTCTCTTTGTAGATGATTGCCCATTCCATTTATGGCCATCCACTGTGCCCGAGTGTCTTGGTCGATGACAAAGGTCGTAGGGCAGTGACCTTTAAGGCTGAGAGCAACAAACACCTAGAAGATCACTTCAGGGCTGTCGTAGCTGAAATGGGGTAGGTCTGTTTGTCTTTCTTATTGTTTCTGTACTGTATCTGTCATTCTTGACTTAGGAACATCGTACCTGAATTAGGGACCATTCCTCTTTTTACATTTTCAACTCATTCAACTCTTGGAAGCCATGTTCAACCCCCCCTCCTCTTCAGTTCATAGATCTCTTCTCAACAACAAGCTCAAGTCTTGGGATGTTGCACGCTCTTCTTCAAAAGCAGATGACATGCATGGCGCAATTTGTACAAATTAAGTTGTGTTTAAACATTTAGGAAAATGTATAAATGATCGTAGAATCTTTTATCATTCAACTGCATAAAACCCCACATCCTTGACGAATTCAAGGGTTAATCTTCAAGATGACCGAAAACACTTTGCTGTGTCTGGTCTGCTCCTCTACCATAACAGCAACACCTTCACTTTATAAATTCTGTCACTCAGCAGTTTACTGTACACCATTTTTAGAGAGCTGTTATATACACTAATCCAAGGAGATGGTACTGTTGCAGTGGTACGTCACTCACTCACTCACTCACTCACTCACTCACTCACTCACTCACTCACGTGCATGTTAACATACACATGCAGGCAAGTTGTGAACACCCTGTCAAGTGGAAGGGGCATTTTACACATATACTATCTGTGGTTCGTACTTGTGGATAAACCCACACTCCTAACACAATCTCTCAGTAAAGTTTGTCCCAATTTCCCTAGATGCCAGGGTGTGCTGGCCATCGCCCCGCTGAGCCCAGACACGGTCAAGAAGTACACCATCCACCACTCGGTCAGCCGAGCCTGTAAGCTAGGGCGCGCCGTCATGCAGGCAAAGAAGTCCTCTCCCATTGATGTCATCCTGGAACATGAGAACGGCATCTGCCTGATCACTGGCAAGGTGACTGTGAAGCACAGGCTAACCTCTCTACTTGTGGTCACATTCAACTCTAACATGCCGTTTTTCACAATTGCAATCAGCAGCTTCACAGTCTTGCAAAGATCCCATAGATCAAATATGTGCTATGCAATTAAATTGTACTAGAAATTACTTTTTGGCCACATGAGTAACCATGGTTTCGTTTCTTGCACATTATCAATCTAGCAACTTTGAGTATTGTTTTTTGGGGGGATTGCATGGGTCACTTGTACAAAAGAAAATACTGGATTGATAGAATACGGGGGAATTCTGTTGGAGATATGCCGAGTGAGACACCATCCTCCCACTTTTAAAAAAAAATTGTTGGCACAATTGCCATTTTTGCTACAAACTCAATCAAAAGTCACCAGAAAAATTGGACCAATGGGGCTGGGGATTCAGACGTGAAACTCTTCGTTGGAAGAGACCCAGATTTAGACTTCTCTTGAAGCATGCTTTCCGATGCTGCAGATATGCGACGTGGCAAGAGGGATCACCGGTGGCTTCACCCGCGGCAGGCTGCTGGTGGAAGGGACTGGGCAGTCCACCGGGCAGCAGCTGGAGGTGGAGTTCCAGAATGAGAACCTGGTGGCTAGAAGCGTCGGCAAGGATCACAGCAAGGTGGGTTATCAACTGGGTTTGACAAGAGGGACTTGGTCAAAATCAACTGCACACATGAGAGACACTTTTAACTTGTACATGAAGCTGATTGTTACAGATAAATCTAGGCACTAATTCGATCGATGATCCTGATAACAGTAATCTCAGCAAGGCCCCCAGTAATGGCTGAGCATTGATCCTACTGCTGTCTAGTAAAAAAACCCAAGGACCTGTCCAGTGGTAAATTCCAGTTTATGTAGTGGGGGGGTTTCATGGCTTTGATTTAAGCATGAAAATTCTTTCTGAACATTTTCTAAAAAATCCCCCAAAGTAATCTTGATCTTCACTTGTTGCAGGTCCTAGCAACGACCCCTGACCTGATCGCAATAGTGGATGCCGATTTAGGCCATCCAATCAGCACGGAGGAGCTCCGCTATGGCCTGCGTGTGGCAGTCTTGGTCCTGGCCTCCCCACCATTGCTGCGAAGCCAGAAGGCACTCGATGTTGTTGGTCCGCGTGCCTTTGGCTATGACCTGGAGTTCACGCCTGTGGCTGAGTATGTTTTGCATACTCCTATACTCTAGCATACCTTTGACGATGGTCCACCCTCGGCTGAGTACATTCCGTATGCTCCTAAACCCCAAGTTCCTTAAAACAAGGTTTGTAAAGCTCGCCCTGGTGTCAAATTGTAAAAGTTTTTCATTTACCACTTCTTGCCAGGGAGCCCGGTACCGGAGACATTGTCCGTATATGCATGGCCGAGGTGCCTGAAATTGGAACTTCCTTTATAAAAAAAAATCAAGTTTCTTGGCATTTGTAGAAAAGGTTTAATTGCTGTCAGTCAGCTGCTGGGACTTGCCAAACAAGGTTCATATGCTGTCTGCAGAGTGCTGGCGATTTTCAGGAGAGGTAATCCATCATTGTTTTAAAACTGTACCATTATTTTGCCGTTGCCAGTGCCCGTGGATCAGCAGGGACAAAAGTGCTCCAGCACACCAGCGATGAGCGATACAATACCACTGGCCACATTTTTAATAGTACAGACAACACCACCATCCAGCAATACACTGGGTCAATTTCCACGTCAAAGATGAAATGACGCAACACCGCACAACGGGGCTTTTTACTGGGCAGCAGGCATGGCTGCAATACTCACGCATCAGTGGAGGTTGCCTGTCAGATAAGACTCGCCACCAGACAGTCATTTATTTGGGTGTACACATCCTGTAAATGAAGATATGAATTTTTGAAGAATTTTAAGAACGGAAAAATATGAAAAAGCGCCCAGCAGCTGGTGATAGATACCACTAACTCCACCCGGCAGGAAAAGGTTAATTGGTGCACCGGCACTGTCTTTTGTGTAGCATTCAGCTACACACTGCTTCAGTGTAGTCAAACTAGCCTCCCAACGTGAACTGCTGAAGTGCATGGTGTCATCGAGTGTCTTTGACAGAGAGTACACACCTAATATTTCACATGAGTTTGCATCTGGGTTAATCCCAATGCATCAGTGGTTACATTCAGGCACTGTTTTAAAGTCACACACACTGAACTTGATTTGATAGAACAGTTTCTACATTACATCAAAATAGCGACTTACACCACCTCAGAGGGGGAGTTCAGCACTAAACAAGAACACTTTGAACTTTCAACATGATAATATGGAAATACTCAGGTTAGGTGTATGATGTACTAGAACGAAGATATGCTTTCGTTAAATATTATGTGTGTATGCAGAAGGTAGATTATCTTTTGTAGTTTTTTACATCAGCCTGAACCATTTGTTACCGGGTGGTTTGAAAGTGCAGTGCACATAATTGGGACTTTTTCAAGATTTTCAAAAAATTCTTCAAAAAATCATCATTTCAATTAATGGACGTTTACACTCACACGAATTACTGTCTGGTGGCTACTCTAGTCTGACAGACAAAATCTATTGACACCCGAGTATTTCAGCCAGGCCCGCAGCCTTGTAAAAAGAGCCCAGATTGCACGGTGTTATGTAACTTTCTTTTGTTCACAAACCTGGCTTAGTGCACTGCTGACCTCTTTTCAATAGGGACCAGATTAGCATGCAGCGGTGCTGTGTGGCTCATCGCTGTGGTGGTGGAGCACTTTTGTCCCCAGTGGTAATCTGCTCGTTCCAAATGTCCCAAACTGTGGTATACTGTTTCAAAACAAGGCTGGATTATCTCCACTATTGAGAGTGAAAAATGTCAGTAATGCCCAGCAGCCAAGTCTTTTGTTCCGAGTACGGTCTTTTGTTACAAGGCCCAGTTCCCTTTGTTCGATTCCGGAAACCCCGGCCACGTTGAAAAACACATGGTGCTTGAAACTGGAGTCCAGGCGGCAAGTGGTTAAAGAAATGAGGCCAAGGCTATCATATTTTTGTTGATGAAAAGAAGTTTATTATATCTCTGCAATACCTTTACTCTCCACAGTTCAGTACTATATTTCATAGTATTACACAAGTTGCTATATGCCAAATTAACTGCAGGAAGTGTTCCCCAAGCTTCATCGTACCTTGATACAGTTTGTTATAGCCATTACAATTAACCTGTCGTAGCTACAACTGTGGTATAAATACGCACGAGGAGTAACCTTTTGTAGTGACATTTTTATCATTATGCTTAGATGGAATAATCATATACTTGGCATATGTGCGCATGTATTCACCCTTTTCAAATGACTGTACATATTAGCCGTACAATTTCTTGGTGAAAAGCTTTGATAATTTGAACGGAAATGAATAACTATTTTTTAAGAGCTTATTTGAAAGGATAATTTCATTAAAATGCATTTCAAAAAATACAGTCTTTCATATTGAACAATGCCCCATGAGGTCTTGTGTAACTATGGTTGGGTAGACCCACCTCCTTGATCTTCCGATCAATTGGTTAACTTGTCTGCAGCAGAAATGTGCAGTTCCTTTAAGCTTTTAATTTTACTGAAAACAGGTTTCACCCCCATGGCCCCCTCGAAAAACTCGAGGTTTTTGTTTTCGCGCAAGCATTTTAAATTTTATAGTTTTATAAATGGTATGTTGTGTTGGTCAACCGACAGAGGAAAATCTTAGGGCTGGAATATGCCGTAGATATTGTGACATCACTCATAAGTCAGCCTTTTTAAAATCTGGCGACCAGTTTACGCCTGGCCAAACATCCTTGTTAACGCAATACTTTTCTATGACAGTCATTTTTGGTGTGGTTTAAATCTGCTGAAGCCTTTGAAACAATAATTGAGGTTCTCAGAATTGTTGTAAAAATCTGTAACAAAACTGCTGGGCAATTTAAATTGCGAGTGTACACTATAAATTGAAGAAGCAACATCAGGGGGAACAGTTGTCATTAGGGCAAAAATGACGTCTCATTTTCAAAGCTTATTCTCAGTTTTGTCAGTTTGCAGGTGTTTCTACCAGCAGTGTTAAGGTCAGGTGTTAATACTCTGACATCTTTCAACATCAATATAGTGCCTTTTAAACCAAAACGACATCGGTATTAATACAAGTTCAAAACTTCAACTCCTGTCGAATGAAAGTTAGCTTAATACAAGCACTGCTATTGCACAATTACGGATACAATCAGAAATTTTCAACTTGCGCTTGAAATTTGCTGTGTAAGAGACTATTATGCAGTTTTTAATAATGTACTATTGTATCCCTGACAGATAGATTAAAATGTTATTGTATTCAGGTATTGCTTAGTCAAAAAGTTGATTAAACAGGAAGGAGCAGGTTGTCAGATTTTTATTATATTCATTTGTTAAGAGAAGTGCACGATTTCAAACTTGACAGTTATTAACACCAAAGTTACGATCAAGTTGCAAATATGAGGTCGAGTGTGAATACCAGGAGAACAAGACAGGCTGCTATTCTACCAAGTATGGGGGCACCGAGCCAACGTACCTCACCGTTCATGTGCCCATGGCAAAAAGTTAACACTTAATTTTTCATATATGAATGTATGCTAATCCGTGCAGTCATCACCGGGGCTAACCCCAATGCATCAATGACTACATTCAGACACTGTTGAAGATTCACTTAGAATACCAGTTGAATTTAATTCAATGTGAAATTCCTGCTGAACAGTTTCCACGTTATACCAAGACAGTGACTTTGCACACCTTATGAGGGGCTTTGAATGTTCAGCATGAAGGGTCAGTTCAGCCTCTCCTTTTGTCACAGCGTACGTCAGTGGTGCTTGTACACAAAGCCATGCTTGTAGAATGAAGTACAGCGAACAACTTGTAATCAACCATAGCAAAACCTCAAAGAGCTACTTTCATTTTTTTAAGTAAAGGATCTTGAATTTGAAAATGGCTGCAATGAAAACCGTGCTCGTCCTCATGCACAATACGAGCCATGAGAAAATCTGCAATTTAAAAAAATGAAATTGTATGTACAGTAATTACAGTTTGATTTGAACAAACTCTTTCACTTAAAAAAATAATCGTTAAATCTGACTCACTGTGATGGCTCTTGTAACCTTCTTCAATGGGTGTCTGAGAGTTTTTTTCAAATCAACTTATAATCAAATTGGTATGAAATGTACAAAACTGAAACTGTTCAAACACGGCAGGGCCGTCCATGACTTGAAACCTTTCTCTGCAAGACGACGTCAAAACAACTTAGCCACGGCCAGCAGTAACATTCAAGTCTATGGAAAATGGCTCCAGCCACTAGCTAGCGACTGCCATTGGTGTATTTCCAGCCTTGGCCAAGTGATTCAGACATTGTCAAAGTCTCATTCAATTTGGTGCAGTTGTTCCAGAACTACATAGGATATTGGAACCCCAAGGCATATGAGCATAGCTTACATGTAGATGATCTTTAATAGATAACAGCAACAATTTTTGCAAATGCTGGTCAGAAAACAGCTTTTCGCAGCAGCAACAGGCTACAAGCCTCAATGTCGTCAGCTGCAAGTTTCTTCAGACTGATTCTGAATCGTTTTTTTTTTCCCCATTCAATTTTTTTTTTCCTGCAGGGTAGGTCCTTACAAAAGATTTGAAAAGGTTACTCGCCCCACATATGCCAGGTAAAAGAGATGCATGTATCAAAACTGTATTTCTAGGTGTGTCAAGTTTGATAGCCACATGTGCATGATGATTTTGCATGTACAGTGTACCTTAAATACTGTAGAAGAACTAGTGAACCAAATTGGACGGCATATCTCGGCCATAATAACCCTAATTTACAAGCTCATTCAGAAAAACTGTTATATTGCTGGGCAGCCACCGGTTCTGTGTACCTAGTGCTACAGAAAACAACAGGAAAAATTACAGAGTTTTAGTGAAGCCTCTCTGAATATAAACACAATCAATATAAAAAAACCAAATTGCAAAATTTAAATTTATGAGTTGTTTGACTTGAAAACCATTTCAGCCGCAATGCAGCATGCAAGGTTCATACACAGATGCATAAATTATAAACTATTCAAACTCTGTAAAATTAACATTTCAAAATGGTACAATCTGAAAATGCACACTGTCTTGGCGAACAATTGTGGCATACATGTACATGTACAATGGCATGTTGGAGTAAAAAGTACATAGGTACATCTAGTTACCTGATTTAAGTGATTTTTACATACTGGTATGAACCGCGGTTAACTACCTGCACAATCAGTGTACAACAGTATTATGATATTGCAAGTTCATACCAACTGGTCAACCTTTCAGGAGTCATGTGAATTGTCCATTCATCAAGGGCATTTTACCGTGCGGCACACCACTCTTCGGTACTTTGTTGTGCGTCAAACTATCAACACCCAAAATTTGCACAAAAATGGGACGTTCATACCACACATATACTACCACTGGATACTCTTGTGTACCTGAAGCATCATTGTAAACAGCCAGACCTTAAATGTATCGGATACTTAAACCAGTGGGAAATGGGGGAAGTGGTACGGTATATGCCCGAAAGACGGCTGGTGCTAGGATGATAATCACTGAGCCCGCTGGGAACAAGACTATCCATGCCAACGTCCCGTCAAAATAGGACTTTGTTTCTGGGTGAATACACTGCAGTACACTGTCAGAGGGCAGCAAAGGCAAAGTTACAGCGGCAGTTGATCATGCTGCGGACGATGCTCCACGTGTCGTTGTAAGGGTCATACCTCTCCATCAGGTCAAGGTATGTTGAGCCCGAGTGACCCCCAGCAGCGTATAGCATGCCATCCAGTACTGCTACACCCAGACCTACCATTGGGACAGATAAAAATGACCCATGGTCAAAAACAATCACTTGAGGTCCAGCACTTACAATATGTTGGCTGCCGTGATGTTGGTTTCCGAATGCAAAACTCACATCTGAGATTTGAAACAATCCCTTATCACTGTCTCTCAACTACCACTGACCATTGGTGGAGAACGGCTTTGAAATATTTTTGAGAAAAAAGCAATTCAGGTGGATTACATGTACTTCACTCTACTTCCTTCCAAACTGTAAAACACCACAAGATCTGAGCCCCGCCCCTCAGAAAGGCCATAAAAGGTTGCATCATAAAGAAATTTCAAAAAATGTTGAACCCCGTCCAAAAAGGTTCACGATCGTCCCTTGTCACTGACCTGTCCTGGTCGTGTTCATTGATGCTACCGTTGTCCACGTTCCCTGCGTGGGGTTGTACTGCTCCACGCTGCTCAAGTGCCGTTCCCCGTTGTGCCCTCCAACCACGTAGATGAAGCCGTGGATCACACCCACGCCAAAGTTGATGCGCTTGTCTGCCATGGGGGCTACCATTTCCCACGTATCCAAGTCTGGGTCGTAGCGCTCAACACTGCAGGGGAGGACACAACAATTAGGACAAGAGTTTGTTTTACTGATAACCTGATTTGGTACTATGGTAGTAATGGTGAGATGATGGTGTGATATACGGTGTAGTGTCGAGGTAAATGTGACCTGTTGTCGCAAAACCGCAGAGTAGCACGGAAGCAAATTGTTACGAATAAAATTTTAACAGATTGGGTGATAATACGGTCTGAATCCCTTGTCATAGGATGTTGAGGTGTACGGGTAGTTAACTCAAATTACATGTTACTGGAAAGCTGATCTGACCAAAAGAATTCAATTCAAAAGAACTCAATTTTGTTTCTAGCTACTTTGGAGTTTGTGGGAACGGTTAAAAAATGGGCAGTTACTGCTTTGATCTAAAACTCACAGATGAACAGGACACAGCATCTGCTCCATGCACGAACAAGAAATGGCATTCTTAAATAGCAATGACGGCCCTTTGGTCGACACCATATACATGTCCATAGTTACCCAGGATCCTGCATAGTTGGCAAAGGCCGCAATGAGCAGTTGCAAAACCAATTTCTGATGACTACAGTTGGAATGTATTGCCTCCTATGTGCGCAGGGTGCCAAGCTCCAACAGTCTCTACTACTAGTTTCTCTCGTCTCTGCCTTTGAAGGCCTACGCAGAGCCAATTAAAAACCTACCTATTAAGGTAGTTGGGTCCGTATCCACCAATGGCATACAACTTCCCATCCACCACTGCCGCACTGAAGATACTCCTACTGTTGATCATGGGTGCCACGTCCTTCCACTGGTTGGTCTTTGGGTCGTAGCACTCTACGCTACGCAGGTACAGCTGCCCTGTGTAGCCCCCTAGGGCATAGATTGTCCCGTTCAGGACGGCCACCCCGTGGTTGCTCCGGCTGGTCTGCATGGACGCGACCTTGGTCCAGGCGTTGGTGGCAGGGGACCAGCACTCGGTGCCGTTGTCGTGGCGCCGGCACATGGAGCCGTTACGGAGCTCCGAGATGATCCCTCCTGTCACATACAGGGTTTGCTGGATGGCTACGGCTGCGCACTCCTGACGTCGACAGCTGAGTGGCGCCACTTCGGACCACACGTTGTTGTCCAGATGGTAAACCTCAACACTAAATGTTGAAGATAAACAAGCAAATAAATTCAAAGTCTTGAGATTTCAACAGTGACAGGAAAGTGCCTGTTCAATGTTATATACAGAAGTCTTAGGTGTATGTTTTCTAAAATAACTTTCCCCAACCCTTCAAAATCCTTTATCAAATTCTTTTTTATGCCTGCATTTTTTAAAACAAAGTTTTCGTGTTTGATTATTTTACTCCACGCGGACGCCATCGAACTTTTGCATTCTGTTCGAGTTGTTACATAATAGCTTCCGCGCCACGCCGTTCCTTTTAGCAAACCCTGTAGTTACTTATTTTTGTCAAATTCACAATAAGATGTCTTTTGTATACAATCGTTATGGTAATTCACTGATTCTTTTCACGGTTATTGTTTGTTGGTTCCTTTTGTGTTTGCAATGGACGGTATGTAATGTTCAGGTGTAAATACTTTTCCGGGTTGGTATAAATTGATTGTGTAGAGTGAGAGAGAACCATTTTGAGCGTTGAGAGTCGTCGTATGTCAGTGTGACAGAAGTCTTTGGGACGCCGTAACCCTAGCCACCAGGTGAGTGGAAGCAGCCACCACAGGCAAGAGGCCAGCCATACGCAAGTTGTCGAGGCCCTGAGCCACCGCATTAGGGGTTAATTCAGGGTACAGATGTACCGAACCCCTTTGTTTTTACGACACTCTCCCAGTCTGACCAGACATCACGAGCAGTTGGTCAATTGTCCGACTCCACATTTTGTCATGTTTAAAGCAAAACTGTTTGACTCTAGCAATTATTTTGAAGCCTTATGTGATTGTGTTACTTTACTTGAATTTTAAAGATAATGTAAATGTTTGTGCTATTTATTGTCAGGAAATTTTCCATGGTATATGCCCAATGGAACAGAGATTTGTAGTTTTCCGGGTTACAGTTAAATTTAATAGATAACCATTTTCCCCGGAGTGGTAACGCAACACCTCACCCCATGAGACCGCATCAGAAGTGCCGGCAGGGACACGGCAACACCGAGCGGTGTATGGATGCTTGAGCTGATTTGATTTTGCTAATTATGCAAGACCTATGGATTGAATTTGATTACTTTGTAAATACTTAATTTCATTTCTTTCATCAATTTATATTTGCATTCTTGAGTTCAAAGAAGTTCTTCCCTGCTTGCTTTATTGAGGTCAAAGACAGAACTAATTTGGGTACTTTGGGCATTTCTGGGGAATTACTTGACATCCTTGAAGAATCTTCCGGGGGCACTGGGAGATTTTGGAAGAGCTGAGGAAAGACAATCCTAGTCACTTTGACTTTGCACAGGATTAAACCCTCTCCAAAAGTTTAGGGACAATGTGATGAATGCGTTATCGATTTCATAGACAATTTGGGAGGGTCCAGGAAGGTAAATGTACTTGTAACTGTTAAAAAATGATAAAAGAACGGTTAAAAAAAGGGGGGAAATCCAAGATTCTGTCACTAAATGTTGTTGAAACACATGCCAATACCAAAGATCTTGTGCAGTGTTCTGATACAGTTTAGCCACTGTACAGTACATTGTACACATTGTAAGTGGGGCTTGATGCGGCAGATATTTTGCATTCTTCACATTTAGATGTACATGTACGGTTGTCCATGTAAATGAATTGCAACCAAGGGATTCCGTATACCACGGTTTCCCCTGCCTATTCAAGTGTGTGGCAGCCCACCTCACTGATTTTAGTGACCACCTCAGGCTTTTCTGTTGAATTTTACCACCTCGAACTTAAAACAGACAAAGATGGAAGGAAAAGGCAAAATTAATTAGACCTTTAGAAAAAGATAACTTTCGTTATCATCCACAATGGTAAAGAGGGACATAGAATGCAACATTGATTTATTTGAGAGAAAGTTAGAGTAAATGTACATGTACATGTACTGTTAGATACATGTACATGTAATATAGAATTTACCGGTATCTTGGACCTTTTTGGAAACGCTTGATTTTGTTTTAGAATTTTGGCAAAATTTGTTTGACCACCTCACACATATCAGTATCCCAGGGGAATTCCTGCCCTATACAAAATTCAGATATGCCAAAGATCCTGATAAAATATGCCAACGTTCTGTCAATATTATTGCAAACAGTTCTGTAGTTAATGTAGGTTGTTTACACAGGAGCGTTGTTACCATAACCATATGGCCCCCACATGTTTGGAATATTGGAAGACCTTGATTGCTGATAATAAACAACAAATTCCTGAGAAATACTCTAAAAAGAGCAAAGGTACGTGTCGTCGTACCGTGTATTAGCAAAGTCCCTGGATGACTCCATTTGTAACCCACAGCAATAAATAATATCAGTAAATTACAGTACCGGTGCAAAAAAAAAATTCCGGGCTGGAAACCATGATTTATGGCAAATGCCCAGAGTCCCTGTTAAAATTTTCTGTGCCTGAGGAAGGATTCTTTTGAACTCATCAAAACACCACTTGAGTTCTGGGATTCTTTTCTCCTTTTTAAACCTAATCATTCATTGTAAGACGTAAGCTTAGGCAACTTTAAAATTCTTAGAGTCAAGATTCATTTCAGAATTGACAAATTCACACGTTTCACAATGAAAAATGGAGAAACTCCCATAAAATCCAGTCATGAACTCAAAGATCACTTTCTTCAAGCAAGAGACGGGTCTGCTGATCTTATAAGAATGGACCTTGGCCCTGTTTGTTTCTCACCAATCTGGATCGCGATCAGTGATCCCACAGCTGGTTCGTGCTATCCATTAGGCAGGTTCTGGTGCCAGTGAACCAATGCCAGATCAATGATCGTGATCTGGATCCATGTGAAACAAACAGGTCCTTAACAAGGAAGCTATTTTTGATCATGTTTCCTGAACCTATCTTATTCAATGTAATCTGTCATTGGGGTGGTACCAGACTATTTTGGATTCCAAGCATCACTGTCATATTTATTAAATGTTGTTTAAAACATTTACAAATAAATCACCACTTTTTAAATTAATCATCATTGTTAATAAAATTAATCTGTAATGAACTTTTATCTAGTTTAATTTTATTCTTACGTCCCCCCCCCAAAAAAAATTTAAGTTAACCTCCCTTTCAATTACATTAAATATGGCCGACTTGTAAGTAAGGTAAATTTCCCAGTGTTGGACCTCCATGTTGAAGTCAGTTTATCTTTAGCCTTGTGGGAATCTGCCCTGATGTCACCCTTGGGGAACTACCATACCCAGTACAAGTGTATGTACATGTACCATTGAATAAGACGTGTCTGTCCCGCAAAGAAATAGAGTGACAATGCTACTTCCAAGTTTGGCATCCGTTCAATTCCTGCCAAAAACAAGCCTAATAACACTGGTTGTCCAGATACATGTACAATCCCAAAATGTATAAACAGTATATGTAAGTTTCTCATCAACACTAGGGCAGGAAATCAAAATTGGATTGGTTTTCTTACTCAAACACTTTAACTCTGCATTTAATACTCAGTTTAAGATCCAAGATGGTTTCTTTTAAAAATACTTTCCGCACATGTATCAAATTTGTGCATACATGCAATAACACAGCTGCTTCAAAGCTGTCATATATATTAGTCATGCATTTTTTAAGCTGCAAGGCACAAGTTACTTCTTTGTAAACAAGTCCTTGCATTATGCTCTGTGTATATCGATTAATGAGCGACTCTAAGTGCTTACAAAACCACTAATGCCTGGCCACTTCATCATCGTACAAAATTCCCTTTGATGGAACACCCCCCCCAAAAAAACATAACTACTAATTGCATTGCAGCTATTTTTAGCCAGTTATTTTTGGCACAGATGCCTCAGGGTGGACAGGGCAGAGTTATTAATTGCCTGCGCTATTTATACATGTAGCTGATGGCATGCAATATGCATCTTTAGGCCTTCAGGTTTCCAGGCACCTGTCCTTGTGTATTATGCTTGCAATGAATCTGGGTGTGGTGTCTCCAAGTAGCGTACATGTACACGTATGTTCACGTAGGTTCGCGTATGTTCACGTAGGTTTGGTATAAAAGACAAAAGTTGAACATTATTCTGCAGTGACAAACTACACGGACACTGTACTTTGTACTCAAATTTTGTGTAATTTCACAAATTATCCCTATGCACATTTTGGGGATGCAAGTTTTTTTTTTTTAGATTTCGGCACTTAGGGCTGTATTATTTGTCTATCCTCTCAAAATCATTCTCTAAATTTTAATCATTGAAATTTTCTCTACACCAACTATTAGAATAATAATAATGTACCAATACAATATACATTGTACATGTACATGCATAGCAATCGTACATGTACAAAAGAGAACTCAAACTTTTAAGAATAAAATCATTGATGACCAACTTACCAGTACATGTACATTTGAATGCTAAGCTTGAGCCGTATTGGGCGAGTTAAATCAACTCAGAAACACAGACATGTAATTTCATTTGGGGGGGGGGCTGACTCCTGGCCCAGGGTTTGTGACTTCAAGTCAGTCAGGCTGGGGTTTGAACCAGCAGCTGACTGCATGTTGTGACCTTGAGCAAGTCACTTTACCCTAACTTGCTTCTCACAATGGTCCACCAAGGAGTCACGGGTGTAAATGGAACCCTTTGAGGGCAGAGACAACACACACTCACACCAACGGTGTACCAGCTGCCAGCTGATGGATGGGGTAATAATAATAACAATAATGTGTTTGTAGACCATTGCTACCCAGTGGTAAGTCACTGGAAAAGTGCTATCAACATGCATTTATAAGCATTCACAGGTATTCTATACACGTACCTGTATTTTGGTTTAAATTACATGAATTTACAGCGGTGGACAGTTTTACTGTCACATATATCTTTTTTCTCCTACACTGTACACTAGACATGCACAAATTCAACAAATGTCAGCCAGCAGAATCCAAACTGCTGTTCTGATTCTTTGAAGAACCCAAGCAATTCAGGGAAATTGAATATTTTTCAGGTATGGCAAGTTCAGGACAAAAGGTGCTCAGTGACTACAAGGAGGACTTTCCCATGCCAGTGAACACACACGACTACATGTACTTTGTCTGACGCAGACGACCCGACCCTGCCCTTTTGTTGTACTTATCAACGGGCATCTCTCTGAACTTAAGACTCCCCCCCCACCAATATTGTTTGCCTGGGAAAGAATTTAGTTGAACCAAATAAAATGGCAACACAGACAAGATAAAAGAGGGCAGAAATAGTGGGAGTGGGCCAACTGATAAGGGAATGAAAACATCATAAACCAGGTCGTTTTATTCAGTGTACAGCCTGGGAATAAAACCAACGCTCCAGGTTTAGCCAGAATTTCAACCTGATAAAAAAAAAGCGAGACCAAATAAAATGAAACTGCGCTTAGCAAAATTTCCAACATTAAAAACCATCCCAACATCTGATGTAGCTAGCTGGGAATGACCCAAGTCTGTAAAGGGACATGTTGTCACTCAAGACAATAATTAGTACCCCCCAAAACAAAACAAACAAAAAGATGACTATTTTATTAAACAGTTAAGGTAACCTGATGAGGTTAAAATATGCAAAGACAGTCCATTTTTACAACATACCGATTGCAAATTATTTCAATTGCTGGATGAGACTTGACACAATTCAAGGTACACTTTTTTATTTCAAACATGTTCTGTTCATCTCAAGTAACTGTGTCTCTGAAAGTGCCAATCAAAACTGTGTTCAACTTGCCCCTTTTCAGTTTCTTTAATAATACTACAATACAAGTATGCAGTTGATATACATGTACGTGTATATCAAACAACCCTTCTGTTGATTGATTGGATTCATGATCATGGAGGAATTAAACGGTTTTTGAAAGGAGAATTCTACATTCTGCATTCCACTTTGTGCTCATAAAAAAGGGTTGCTTTTGAAACTAAATGCCATTGAAAAACATTATGCTTTTACTATCCTCTTCTTTCGAACATTCCAAAACTTGTGCTCAGACAACTAGTATGAACTATTTCCACAAGCTTCACTGATCAATAGTCAACTCCCAATGCACCTCAGTTCACAGACAAAATGCAAATGCTAACACAAAAGGCCCAAAGTAGTCACTTTAGATATTCACCATAAAATGCAAGTTCTGCAAACTGTGTAAGGTCCACAATTATTTCTTATGAGTGAAGACAACAGTTTTTAAATGCTACTTTCAAGAGTAAATATACCGGTACCAACATCTAATATCAAAATAAGTCCTTTTCACGAAAGCAGTAAGTTCACTTACCTATCTAGTGTAGCAAATAGCCCATTCTTGCCTCCCATTGCACAGAGTAATCCTTTCTCCCCTCTCGTCTTTACCCGGGCCCCCATCTTCCGAGCCACATGTAGCCTCTCCTCAGGCCTGAGGTGGTACCTCAGGGCCCGATTCACCTGCTCCTGGCAGGAGGGATTGTCCCGGATGAATGGGTTGGCTTCATACAGCCCCGTCAGTGTCTGCAGGGTCATGAGCGGCAGGCGCACACAGTGTAGGAGCTTGCCCATATAGCAGCCCCGCTTGTTGGGGTCATAGCGCACCCAGCTGTCCAGAGCGTTGAAGACCGCTTCCTCTGAGCCAATGAGCAGGTCGTCCTGGCTCAGGATGCTGGCCAAGTCACTGTGTTCCACCTGAAGGAACTCCTCGCTGGTGCTCAGCTCCTCGAAGTGGCGGGCGATGAAGGCCTGGGCAGTGCGGTGGAGATCGGTGCAGGCATGTGTGTCAGCAAAACAGGAGATGCCGATGCAATTGGTGGCATGTAGGTGGGCCTGTGCAGGCAAGTTGGATTTGAAATTTAACTAGCTTGAAATCTAGGACTCGAAAATGGGTGGGCTTTTTTTAACTTGTGAGTAGGCATATGCGACCTGAAATCAGGGATTCTGAGAAGGAACAACCTTACACTGGAATCACTAGTGAAAAATGTAAGTCGGCTCAAAATATAACCAACTCTACCTATTCACGATGGGGTCATTCAAGTTTAATTTAGAAATTTGCGATTGAAGTTAACAGTTGGCTGTGTGTAAGTACATGTACAGTATTCCACATGCACTGACCAGCAGAGTTTTAGAAACAACAGTTTCAAAGGCGTAATTATATGGTAGTTTCCTTCAATAGGATTTTTGGACCAGAGGTCACATTTTTTCAACATTTGAAATTGTTGCAAAAATTCCCGTACAAGATCAATGAACCTGCTGAGGGGGGCAATCGGGAAAACAAGAGTCTGTCTCAGTTTTTCTCTGGACGATGCATACATACAGTGCATTACACCAGCAGACACGGTTTCTTCCCATATGAAAGCTCTGCTGTAACTTGCTTGTTAAAGGAACTGGAGAATTATCATCACGGGTATTTTTTTAGGTTGTGATTATGGTTAACACACTCTAGACTAGTTGCTGTCTACTTCTATTACACCAACCTAGAGCAGTGGAGACAGGAACCAGACCTGTCTGGAACAAGGGATCTCAGATTTTTTCCATTAAGGAATTTCAATGTGAATGAATCTATAATAAAGAATTAAGAATTGGGAAGTTCTGTTTCAGCTTCCATAATTACAGCCACTATTTATTTTGTACCTCAAGAAAATCACAGCAAATCTTGATGACAGGTTTGAGCTGCAGTAGACTGGCGGCAGGAAGCAACGTCTGGACGTTGGCGTGGGTCACGCGAACCTTCCCCGTGTAGGCAAACTCCACCAGGGTCTGAAGGGCCGTCTCGTCCACCGACTTAAGCTCTATTTCCTCTTTCTCCCGTTCGCACAGGGAACCAGTGAACATGGCCCGGAAGTACTGGCTGCAGCTGGCCAGCACGGCCCGGTGGGCAGGTACCCTGCATGCACCTACCTTCAGCACCACATCGCAGAGCTCGCCCTGCTTGCGCAGCTGGTTGAGAGACTGAAGAATCTGGGTGGCGTGCTGAGGCATTTCTGTCAGTCCGTTGTCAGGACCGTCTCTAGAATGAATGTTGTCCATCTTGATGCAATCAGTTCATTGGTACAAACCTGTCAAGCAAATCTGGAGTGGTTAACTATTATTCCGAACACAAAAAGACCATCTAGAATGTCCTACACAAAAGCAATTTATATTCTCGTTCTGGAAAGTGTTTCCTTTTTTTTTAGTGGAGGAAGATCCATTTTGGAGTTTCATACACACCAACAGGTTAAGGAGCACAGGGGAAAAGGTGAATTTTGCAGGGCAAGCACCTCAAGTACATGTACCTGGAGGAAAGGGTTCTGTGTCTGGCAACAACTTACATATCATCCTTGATATGCCTTGAAAATTACCAAGAAATGATGAAGAAACACAAATTCAGGAATTAGGGGTGGAGAAAAAACTAAAAGTTTCCTTTAAAAATCTCTGACGTTTTCTGTCAAGGCCAATAGACTTTGTACGCAACATTCTGCACAAGGTCTACAGTGGTGACTGGATGTGGAACTCTTTCTTGTTAAGCATGATCGGCCAATCTGCATGACCACCCAATTTCTTTACTCTTTTGAAACAATCTTTCATGAACGTGAATTAGAAAGAAAAGGCAATTGGCTGATGGTGTAAATAATGAAAAATCATTCCCTAAGATTAACAGATTGTGCAAAGATCTAGATATCACCCATCCACACTATGGAAGATCGACAGCAAGTACTCTCTCATCATTGCCAACAGCATGACAGTTTCACCAATCACAATGCAGCTCCTGCATTTTTCTTGTTTTTCTTGTCACCCGCAAATAAAAGCCCCGCTCTGATTGGCCTAATCACCTCTATACTAATGACCAATCACAGCTAACTAGATTCATCAAAATTTCACAGTTTCTCCAACTTCATAGCGAGGAGTACCACGGAAAGAGTCCACAATTTCATTTGTGAGAGAATGAGGGGTTACACAGCTGTATAGGATGCACAAAAATGAAGTGTGATTGTTCAGTCACCACTGATGCTCGCATGTCAGGTGGCTCCAGGACTAATTCATTATCCTGTGACCATGTATCAGTGGCAAAGTGCACGTCAAGACCAGGAGAGGAGGGGACAGCACTTTTTATCTTAACCGCAGAACACTTTGGCCAATCAACATGAAATTTGGGAACCTTTTGGATCATTTATTAGGGGTCGGGTTGATACAAAAACCAAATTTCTAGAATTTCCATGATTAGCATGGCAACCGATTAAAACACGTGTTGTACATGTAACTGTGCAAGAAATATGTTTCATATAAGTCAGAGTTGTTGGTTTTTTTTTTCAAGATAGCAAGAAGTCTTTGATTGGTCAAGCACTCACCAGGGGAAACTGTACAAATAACACAAGTTCATCAGATAAAAAGAAACATGATAAGGCCAACTGAAATACGCAATTGATTTTAAAATTATTGTAAAAATGAAATAAAAATATATAATTAGGATGCAGCTTTTAATGAAGCAAATACATGTACATTTAGCACCAAAAGTAAAAGAAATAGGTGTAAGGTTGAGTTTGTCTTTGAATTAATGCAATACTGAAATTAAACCAACATTAAAACTTTAAAAAATTGTGAAATAAAGACACATGATTTAATAAAATTGAGACATTATGTAACAATAAACATGTGCCACCAGTTTAGCGATTCCAATGCTGTTGGTTACATAATATGAAGTTACATATAAGAACACCTTCCATGTACTCTTCTTTTTGCTGTCCGACATGTATTCAATAACACAATTATTCTGAATAGAAGAAATGTATGAACAAATAAATAATTTCCAGAGTGCAAATTCCAACTTGGTTGTCAAAGATGGCTTCTTGACAATCATCCCTAAACTTGTACCAGAACAATATTTAATATTGGTTCGCTTTTATGATATCATATATACAAACTGCTCTGCATAAGTTTAAGTGGAGTGGGTCAAATCTGTCACAGTAAATTCATGCCTGATGAAGTGCAGCCTCTATTGACAGACTTATGAATCTATGTATTATAGCTCAGCTGTAATGTATTTTAGAAATGCTCATCATGCATCAAAATTTCCCATGTCATTAGTCATTACTAGCCCAAGCATGAGAAAAATTAGGAAACAAAAATTTGAGTAGAGAAAATGTCAAAACGGAAGTTACATGTACATGTTGGGAAAAGAAATTGGCCAATTTGGTCACAGTCATGACTACCCCCAGAACTGTGGGGTCCGGCATCTGCTCCGCTCCTACTAACCCCACAGAAAATGAGCCTTTTTCACCGTGGGCTCTACATGACATTTAACACGGCACAAACAGGGATTCTACTCTAGAGGTGTACCCATAGAAATGTTGCTCCATTTCCCCAAGATTTCTATATATGATAGCTTACATCCCTTTTTTCTGAGTACCAAGAAAAAATTGGCCCAAACCATACTGTTTTCCAAGAAAAAGTGCAAATATTTCCCAATCAGTGTCCGAGAGTCATGCGGTTCACATGTGTACTTGCGAAGATGAGCTTTGACCAAATGGCTGACTACAGCTGTGATCAATACACAAGACATGGAAATTGGCTGCAGCGGCTTTCTGTATGTGTGTATTTAATTCTTAGCCACGCTGGTAGAAATGGCAGTTGGCTGCAGCGCGCTGGAGGTCATACTGACCAATCACACGGCTCCTTATTATTTATTCCTGAATTGCAGGAACGACAGGCAACAGCTGTTGGGTACCAGTGCACGTGAGCATGCTTCACAAGTACACATGTGAACCGCATGACTCTCAGATACTGATCAGTGATGATTTGGCCCATTTTTTTCTTGGTACTCAGAACAAAGGGATGTAAGCTACCACATAGAGAAATCTTGGGGGAAATGGAGCAGCATTTCTATGGGTACACAACTAGAATAGAATCCCTGTTCATGCCGTGTTAAATGTCATGTAGAGCCTATGGCGAAAAAGGCTCTTCTTCTGTGGGGTTCGTGGGAGCGGAGCGGACGTTGGAGCCCACAGTTCTGGGGGTAAGTCATGACAGTGCTGTCTTTGGGTGTCACTGTTAGTAAAAGCCTTTGTGCTATAAAAATAGGCCTAGCTTAGTCCGAGTAATTTGGACTCTACCAATCGCGTTTTTTAACATTTGGACAAATGTTAAAAAGGCAATTTGTCATGTGCAAGAGTCCAAGTTACTCGGACTAGGCCTAGCTAAGTTTTGCCATGCTCAGTGGTTTAACTGTTTTGTTTAAACATGGAGGTAGGAAAAGAAAAAAAGGCAAGACAAGTCGTCATGGTCGAATGAAAAAGAACATGACGACGAGCATGATGAGAAAATGCATGGAAAGGTGAAAGTTTACCTCCGACAACATCAGTACATGTACTAGGCTCCGACTAGCCCCAGGCTATGGTTCGTCGTGTTCTCTTGACGTCATGGTAACTGGTTCCATTATAATGAGGCGGGATAAAGCGATGTTCCATTCTGAACGTTTCATTACAGGAAGTAACATTACGTCAGTCACTTTCTCATATTTCTCCAAGATTCGACTTCAGCCTGAAGTGAATGTCTGAGCAAGGTCTGACATTCTGTGGCGCAGTCATGGCAGCGCTGGCCAAAGATAAGCCGTATGATATGACCCCGCTCTGCCGTGCTGCAAAATCGTTCGGTATGTACGCATGAACATACGTGGTGCACAGGAAAGGTGCGGTTCCCCGACGATGTAACATATGAGTATAACGATTACCTACCTGTCTTGCGACCGTACTATTTCAAGTATTCTGTACTTTAAACTTGTATAGGTCGGTTGTTGTTTAATTTTTAAACAAGTTTGTTTCAAAGTGTTGCAAACATTGAATGGAACCTCTTTGCTTCACATTTTTCGAAAAATATACCAAATTACAGATGGTTAGACAAAAGCACCGATTCAGCCATAGTATTTTACAACACTTGTACTCCAATAGAAATGAGGACTAATCCGACTGAAATAACTTTATTGCACAGTGAACAGAGTCTAAATCATGAGAGGGCGCTCATATTGTTCCGCCCCACACGCTTCGGATTAGGGTTGTGCGAAAAGTTTTTCTGATTAATTTTGGCCCGTGCATCCTGCCTCTAGAGTGCAACACACATTATATGATTATAAACTGTTAAAGTACAGTGAGATCAGTGCAATAAGATAATTAATTTTAAAAAAGACGAAAGGACTATGTGGAATATGACTTGAGTTTGAAAAATAATGAAACATCAGAAGGTGCTACAAGTGGAATAAGAAGAAAGAGCATGTAAAAATGTGGGAATCTGATCGATCGGTGGCCAACTGTATATGCAGGCCTACTGCATCTAAATCTATATGCTTGGAAAAATACACGAAGGGACCATTTCATCTCTGTCATATTTAAAGGATTTAGCTGTGACATTGTTATTTAGTGTGGAATTAGTTATCACCATGGTGCATTGACGCTTACAGTGGCTAGGCCAAACACCGTTACGTCACCAAACTAATACTACCCCCGCTTGCGATGGCAGAACCCGGTTTATATAATCGATTCTCAACATCAAATCTTATGCCGAAATCTCGGCCAGGCCCTTTTCTTCCAAGTGCTAGTCTCATTCGCTCTTTAGCTTTCAACTTCGAAATATCGCCTCCCTGAGTTTCCGGGTCAGACAAGGTTATCAAGTAGATTAAATTTGCTCCGCGTGTGTGACTATCGGAGGTAAAATTTCCCCAAGCATAGATCCGGGCGACACGAGCGTCTGTCGCATTGAGTGTGCAAGCACTACATGAGCACTCGTCTTCTTGGAGCTAGTCTCCAAAGGTGAATTGTCCTATTGTTATTAAGACCATGGATGACAACATCGCACAGGAGAGTTGATCTCCTTGAAAGGAGGGGGATGGAATAGACATACATCCCAACTCCACTCAGTTTCCTTACAGAATCTAGAAGAAGCTACTGTTGGTGTGATCGGATTCAAAGGCTTTAGCTGACGGGCTTGTCTGGGCTGACAACAACGGCCATTATATGGGCCATAAATGGGATGAAGAGGGCGGTTGGACCGGGACATTCAGACGTAGAATCATAGCCATGAAAGTACGATGCATGCTCGGTCGGTGCCGCCGAAGGACGATAATGTTGGCCATGTTCTGCGGGGTAGCGCTGTGCGTGCTGCACGGTAAAGTACTCTTTTCGGGAGGGAACGAGCACGGGCGACAACCTAGATCAGAGGTAGGTTTAATCAAAACAGAAAGACAAACACCGAGCAAAAGAACACAAATGAAATAGGATCTTTCTTCAAGAAAAAGTACATGACTTAATATATATCTGTATATCTGTGCACAGAGTTTTAACGCAGTGGCGAACATTTTTTGGTTTGAACGAAAAGGACGCTGATTGACTTCACAACATAGAAATGGTTCATGACTTTTTATTTCATGATTTCAGCGATATGAAAAAGGTAGATTGGTTTGTCTCAGTTTACATCGATCTTAGTACTAAGTACCGTCATGTTGACTGCGAAATGTTAGTGCAAGATGTTCGATATTTCTTGTTTTGATTTTTAGCATTGACAACACATTGCCCCGTCTCGGAACTTGTTTCACACTTGCACCTTAGGCCTAAACATGTATAAGGCTTCTCTGAATGAGGCAACTCTAAAGACGGGTAGTAAATACGCTTAACACAGGCTTTCAGAATCAAATTTTGGGGGGGACAATTTCTTTCGGGAGGCAAAAATGTGTGATGTGCAAACTGCTCAAAGAAACTATCAAAATATAAGATGGAATATAAGATGGGAAAGATGTCGACCCCCGTAAAAAAAGGGACAAAGAAATGTAGAGAAGGCTGGAGCGAATTCAAGCCGAATCCCGCCGTCCGTAGCAACCAACAGCGCGAGCATAGCTTCATGAGACAAAGAATGATAGTCAGTAAGTTAGTGGCCCACTCAGGATTTACAGAAGGGGTTCAGGCCATAACTTTAAACTGACTTGTTTCAAATGGAATTTAGTAATTTTACACAAGTTGTATAATAACTATAGCGTTCAACATCTACGTAAAACAGATTGAGTTTTATAAACAGTATTACGTGACAGTTGTTACGTGTTAGTATTATGACATATTAAAAGATAGGCTCAATTTTGCCATAGTATGCTTTGATTCACAACGAACGTGTAAGCATCGGATGATCAATGAGCTTCGATCAAGATGGGATGAAATATCGATAACTGCATCATGGTTAGGAGCGACGTCTGTGAAATGGTCGATGGCGCTTCGTCTTATAAATTTTACATTTTCGTTCTATATATTTTACATTTTGCTCTCACAACTGGTCTGGCGTCGAGGAGGCGACGCTTCGTCCCATTTATCAGTTTCGTTCCATATTAAGTTTCGTTCTATTTTCTTACGTTTGTTCTACATTTTTTACATTTCGTTTTATTTTTTATAGTTTCGTTCTATATGTATTAGTTTTTCCTATATAGGCTATATTAGTTTCGTCATATATTAGTTTCGTCCACTATATATTGGTTTCATCCTATATATTATTTTCAAGTGTATTATATTTATTAGTTTCGTCGTAAATATATGAGTTTTGTCGTATATTTATTAGTTTTCGTCCTGTATAAATCACCTTTGTCCTTTAAACGTAGTTTTGTCCTATATGTACATGTAGATTGGTTTGGTACTTTATGTATTAGTTTTCGCCATTTAATATACTTCTTTCGTCCTTATATATTTGTTTCGTTTGAGATTTTTTTCACTTTCGTCCTGTAGAAATTAGTTTCGTCATATGTATATATTATTTTCGTGAGATTTTTTGTACTTATAAAGTCATAAAAGGCGCCTCATAGAGTCGAGGGGATTGCTCTTGACATTGATTAGTAGGTAACCATTTCAATGAAGCCACAGTAACACATTCTCTGATCTTGACTGGTCTTTGAAGTGTGATAGGTGTGTCACTAAAATTCCTTGTGGGACAGGCAAGGTTAGAGGAATGCTGTAACTGTTTAACGAGGGAAAAAAATTGAATTTACCGTACCCTCGGATTTAGCAAAGATTATATCCTGTAGGATTTGGTCACGTTTCTCTTGAAACAGGATAGGAAAGATGAGCCATGCACCGAGTGGGCAGAGAAATCAAAATGTGCTGCAGGAATGTAACCATTAAAATATGGGGAGCCGAGGGTGGAATTCATGTTTCTGCCTCGCTGGAGGGCGATGTAGCCCACTTCACCTATCATTGTTGAATGTTTAAAATGGGACCACAACAATGGCCAGGAGGGATGGGAGGGTCGCCAAGAACCCCGGTGCATTGGCAAAGTTGCATGTGTTCTAATGCAGCCGGAATCAGAACCACAAGTGGAACTACAAGGGCGTGTTCTCCAGACCAGTTTTGAGCAAAAGCATCCACCCCGGATGTGCCTGGGTTCCAGAAACGAGAGTAAAGTTGTGACACTTTGGCATTGTAATAATTTGCGAAGCAGTCAACCGTGAAGGGGCCCTAAAGGCTATTAAGTGTGGCAAAGAATTCATCTGTTAAGGTCCAGTCATCCAAGTCAATGATCTTGCTCAGAAAACCAGCTTGTTCCAATCCAATCCACGTCAATTCTGATAGAGTTCCGAAGACATATCTTAAACATGTCAAACGCTTTGGCCTACAAGTGCGATTTCACGCTGCCGCATTCGATTATCTTCGCAGCAGTCTGACTGTCAAAAAGTATATTTAGATCAGAGGATGAAATAATGGAAGAAATGATAAGAGAGCAAAACGAATACCTTCAAGTTCTCTCAATGTTGAACTCAGAGGTGATTCCTCAACAGACCAGGGCTTACGAGCGGAATCAATGTCATTGCATACGATAGCCCCTTCACCGCGGTAAAACTCAATCGGAGCATTCGATTTTATTGTGAATCTGATGGGAAAAGACGTGTCGGGCGTTCAAATGGCGGACGTTATCCAGAATTTTTAGAGACAAGGGGTAACTTTCATCGGCGGCTGCAGCAATACAACACAACATTATATCTGAAGAACATCGTCAAACGTCGTGACGATTGATGTCCGACAATGATTTTGACGAGCCGAAGATGCTAGAGGGGCCGAGTTTGTTGAAGTCAACTGCGGAGGAGGCACTGGACTACGAACTGGGTGGGGCAGCGAGGGCTCGCTCTGAGGCTGAGACAGTCCAGGCTGGAAATGGGTATCTGGGACCCCCGACTGTGAAGACGGAGCTGGATCTAGTACGGGCATGGTAAATGTTAAAGGAAATGGCGCCTTGCATGAATGGGTAGGCTTTTGCCCAGTGACCGACGGAACCGCAGGAGTAGCATTGGTCAAAAGTTGGCATGGCGGTGGAAAGAAAATTTTAAAGGAAACAGTCGGTAGGAACAACCGAAAGGAAAACAAATAATTGACTGAAAATATATATTGCGCCCCATAAATAATTACAGAATATTAAAATTTGTCACTGACAGTAAACATGAACCCAGTGGGTGGGTGGGCGGGTGGGTAGTAAAACAAGCAAAACAGTACGAGAATAGCGGACAAGAAGTGTGTAGCAACACTCGGTGGGTGTAAGACCTGAATGGGAGTACAAGCGCTAACACATGCCTTACATGCAGAGTACAGGGGTAGGCATCGATGCCAGTCTAATTCATAAATTATTAATGTTTACGTTTACCAATCAGCAATTCGTGGATCACCAGGCCAGCGCTTAGCGCCTGTGGCATGCCTAAGGGGTGCAGACCACTAATTCAAGTGAGAGTTTCTAGCCAGCTCATTAGCATTAAAAGCGCCCCCGCAGGATCTTTTGAAAAAGGAGATTGTTTGGCCCCCAAAATGGTGAGATTGTGTAAATCCTTGCCAGGATCAACTCCCTGGATCTTTGAGCTTTCATATGAGAGCAGAAGGGCTAAAAACTACGGTTGAAAAAGGGTCCTAAGTGCCCCAGAAAGTTGAGGGTTGCCACTTGAAAAATGGCTGGAATCAGACTTCGGAAAAATCACTTTTTTGGGGGGGGGGGTGATTTTGTTTTGTGGGAATAATTATAAATGTAATTGGTTAACCCATAAAAAATTGAAAAGAAATTGAAAGATAAATGACCCGAGAAGAATTTCATTTGTGCTTCAGAAATCTCAGGGATGTTGGCGTGCATGCTATTGGGTCCTGAACGGTGCTGATTTCACACTGTTTTCAATGGGACTTGAATTAGTGGTCTGGACCCTAAGGCGCGCACAATTAGTTCGCTACAGGGTCGTAGAGTGACAGGAGGGGGGCCGCTGCGTGTGGATCCACTGCGACAACTGGCGGGTGTATGAGTCGTATTGGGTATAGATTATTTAAATGAATGTACGTAGTGAACCTAGGCTGCGAGCTAGTGGTCTCTGCTGTTGAAAGTACATGTAGGCCTACTGTTAATGGGGTGATGGCTGGAAGGCAATCCTGTTATCCCGTTGCCTCAGACCAGAGAAGGGGGGGTCGTTAAACCCAGAAGTGGAACTTCTGGCCTATCATAATGTGCTTTTGAAGAAATTGCATGTTTGTTGCGAACCGAAGGATGCATGTAAGACTTGTATATTTCAGTTTTCAAAATTCACAGTGTTTCGTAAATTGGCCTGGTGCGAATTTGCTTGTCACCCGGCACCCTGAATCAGGCGCTGGGTGACGAGCGAATAATATGAACATCACTTTTTAAAAATCTCAGAAAATTCCACTCAAGAATTTCAGACGTTCTATAAATTCTAGTAATTCTAGATAAATTCTAGCAAATAGTTATTACTTCCACTCACTAAAAATTGTAAAAAAAAAGTGTGTGTATTTTGGGGCGCATTTAAAAGAGTTCAGTTTGCACTTCAGGTAAAAACAAAATCGGAAAAATCGGACCAAAATAAAATTTCATCGGAACTTTGTAGCGGATATATGAAATCGACAGTGAATCAGAATATTTGGAGTCTGATTAAATTTCATCTTTCGTGAGATTGGAGGCAAAATATTGCTCCATACACAAACGTTAGAAGCAAAAATTCAAAGAGCCCAACGTTAGGGTCCGCACCACTTTTGCGTACAGAATCTCCAAGCGTAAAGTGGAGCAACGCGCGAACGAGTGTTGTCGTTAATTTAAACCAAAACTTTAAGTTTCAATTCCTCAAAATTACTTTTGACGGGCTGGATTAGTGTCCTTGCTGGGTGGTCCATGCAGTTCTTTCTTTTTAACAGTTTACCAAATAACCAATGAA